TGTGATGGCAAAATTATCTCAGGTCAGACCAAGGATAACTGAGAAATTAAAAAAAAAACTAGTAAAACTAAATAATCAACCCATGCTATTTATTGGATGGTATGTTAACCAGAATCATATGCAATAGGAAAAAAAGAAAAAAAAGAAAAAAAAATTTTCAGAGAGAAACAACTGAAACAAAATAACCAACACTAACAAGTCTGCAGGATTTATTTTAAAGTAGGTTTAGATTGCTCCTTTGCACTAAATGCCAGCTAACAGCCTGGGTACATTCTTCGGTTCCATGATCCAAAAGGTATTTAGTTGATACTGTCATGAACTTTCCTATGATATCAACTGAAGTACAAGGGTAGGGTCATTTGGGAGACTTCGAAAATTTCCAGTGAGGAACAAACACTAAGGTAGATCCATCCAAAAAATGTAACAGTAACCATATATATGCATTGTGTATAAAACAAGTATTCTCCCACATTAAATGTTTCATTTATTATTAAAATGCTCACACCCTATAAAAGATTAAAAAGTATATTACAAAGACCCAAGTAAACAGAATCACAGAATCACTAAGGTTGGAAAAGACCTTGAAGATCATCAAGTTCAACCTTCGACCAAAGCCATCATTGCCAACTAAACCATAGCACTAAGTGCCACGTGCAATTGTTTATGAATCCAAACATACAGTAATATTAAACATATAGCAATGACTTAAATTTTAAAAAGGGTAAATTAAGACACAGTAAAACTATAATGGAAATTATTACAGCACCATTGCAGAAATCCATGTAACAAGCATGTAAAAAGCATGTAAGCATAATTTTTATGAGAACTTGAAAGGAATAAGGGCAGAAATCAGCTGAAGAAACTCTAGGGTGAAGGTGAAGAGACAGTCCAGAGTGTCTGTATATAGCACATTCAGGATATTTAGTTTTACTTTATTTATACTGACTTTTTTCCCTCCCAAATACTTGAATATTCTGCAGATATCAGTCTATGCCATTACACACAGGAACTACTGTGGTCTAAGAATAGCAGTACAGGGTCTTTCAAGCATGAAAATCACTGCCTGTGAGTGCACAATTTAATATCACCCTAAGAGACTCAGTCTGCTCAGGATTTCTTCAACTTCAATCTATTGGCACATCTGATGCCAAAATCTACTTGCTAGAATGTGACCGAGTGTAGTGGGGTTTGGCATACAAGAAACAAAGACTACCTTAATTAGCACACTTTCCAACAATAGAAAATAGTACCTTGAACTAAAGTGTGGGAATCTGTTAAAGATCCGAGCTCCTCAAAACTTTCCCAAAGTAGACTTGAAAATGACAATACACTTATTACTTATATGGGTTTCAGCATATTTGACTGGACATGTAGTTTTCTTCCCTGCCCTATCATGTGTTAAAGAACTTAGGCTTTTCATTCTAATTTGAATAGGAACCTGCACTATCATTAGCATTTACAGACCTATATAGGTTTAGAATTTACTTTCAGAATCTAATATTGCTTACATAAACACATTTATTTTTAACTGTGCTTAAAGGTTTCTGCAGTTACAAAAAATACCGGTCACGTAGAGCAACCTCATTATGGTAAACACAGTAACTTGATGTTCTGATGACAATTTCTTGGATTTGAGAGAAAGCAAACTACTTCTACAAGACACCATGCAAAGGACTAGCAAAGGCAAGTGAAGGCACAAAATTAACATCTGAAAATGTATTTGTCACGTTCCTATTTTTATCTGCTTGCTGATGCACTTGATTTCAGGTTTCTGCAATGCCTCATAACTGGAAACTCTTACTGTGCTTCCTAATTGCTAAATCTAAATAGTCTAATTAGACTAACTACTGCACAATGCTTTTCTTCATCCACAGATATACGTGGTACCACTATTTATAGTATTCTCTATCTGAGAGCTGAGTTACAGGACATAAATTATCACTTCCTGTTGAATGACAATGGTATTTCCACTCCGTGAAAAAGGCCTTCCACTAAAAGACTTTTAATTAGTATAATTAACATGGGTCCTAAAGGCCACACCAGATCAAGCAAAAGTTCTGCATTATAAAAACAAAGGCCTTAAATTGTATATTTCAGAAAACTGTGATAAGCTGGTGAAGGACTTCAGAATCTCTTCTTGTCTTATTATCCCTTGTATTGATTGAAATCTCTCCACCTTGAAATTGTTGGTGAGGACAAATCTATTGAGTCTCATTAAATCCAGCATAGGAATGAAGTCCCCAGAGCATTTGGGACCACTAAAGCAGATGCTACACATTTTAGAAAAATATTCTCTATCCTTGAGAATATGAACTACAGCTGCAACATGAAATAGACATCAATTTATTTCCATAAAAGCTCTAATGTAAAGGAGTTATTGTAGAACACAGCATCCTTAAAATTTGTACTTAGAGAAAAACGATATGTGAAGTCAACCCAACTTGATAAAACAGATTATAGATCTTTACATGCTGCTCACTACAGCTAGACTTGAAAATTTCTGGTCCTCAATAAATATATACATAAATCAAAGCAAGTTTATGACCTCAGATTTATCAGAAATCTTTTTCCTTTTCTCAGTCTACTGTTTCATACTACACATTAACATCAGCACAAAGATCTGTTTTTCTCAATGGCACCCTGTGAACGTGAACTTTGAATATGTGAGCCAACCATACTGCCTGAGCTACAGCACAGAGTGCCTATCTGACCACTAACAGAGAGGTCATTGATCTTGCTGTAAGGGACAATATATCATAGGATGTACACGCTGATAGGCTCAATGCCATTTGAAGAAGTAGGAAAATATTCCTTTGTGACTATATTTATGGAATAGCTGACACATCCTTATCTAGCTGTTGCAGACTGCATATTATTAATGCAGAGAAGACAAACAGAACACAGATTTGTCTGCAATAGTTCGTGCCTCTCTCATTCAAGCAAAAAAATAGACATTTATATTATTTCTATAGATGCTGAGTTTTCCAAAAGCCTGCTGTGACTTCACTAGGACTACATATCTTACGATTTGAAAAATCCCTGTTACTTTGAAGCAATTACAATTGGCTATTTTATACAATTCTGCTCAGAAATACAGAATCGGACTGTCATAATAAATTAATTCCTTTCCCCTTCCAAAGTTCTCTTAATTCAACTTGCTACAAACATTAGCTCTAGTGCACTGTGACTTTGGGAGCTTCACTTACTCCTTTTTTCACCTTTCTTTTTTTTCTGTATTTTTTCAGGTTTGATATTTTATGAAAAGACAACTTAGCAGTTCCACAATAGTAATTTTTTAGCAGATATAAGTTGGCTTTTGCTGGTTTAAGAAATTTACGGGACCTTACTCCTCCATGTAAAAAAATATTGAATTCAACACCTCCAAATCAGCAAAGTTAATCTTTTCTAAGTTGGGAGTACTTGGTAGCTATCAAAAACTAGGGCTTGTCTTCTAAACCACACTATTCTTGTTATAAGGCAAGATAGGCAGAAGCTTTAAGTCCTGCCTGAAGCAATTCCAAATATTCAACCAAGCCCAGATTAGAAGAGGCTTGACCCTCTACCTTATCAATATAACCACCAATTTTACATGTTACTTTAGCAACTGTTTTTCATAGGGTAGGTATTTCTTTCCCATACTGAAAAAATACTGGCAAAATCTCAACTGTGCAAGCTAAAGTAATCTTTATGAAGAATTTTTTCATGCTTTAAAACAGTCCCATGAAAATTCAGTTTTATTTTCTTTCATTATGTATTCTTGTAGAACTTGACTGGAAGAATACAGTCTTATACGTACCAAGGAAGACACGTCATACTGTCTTTCCTTTTTTTAATTTTTTTTTTTTTTTTTTTTTTGAGTGACTCAAAGGATCTATTTAACACCTTTAGAAACATTGACTAGAGAATGGAAAATAAAAGACTGACACCTTTATTCGCTTTTCTTTTCATTCTAGAATTTACTCCATCTTGCCCTGGATAGATAAATTCCCCCTGCCTTGTACATATTCTGAACAGCTTTGATAGAAAGTCCACCTGTAGTTTGACTGAGCTACTACTACAATGTAGAAATGATTTAACATCTAGCATCACTGCAGTCAAATAAACTGTAGAGTTTTCTCGGGTATTTGGGGTTATTTCCACTCCTTTTTATATGCAGCAGCTCTTTATGCTGGTATTCCACAAAATTTATAATTATCTTAGCAAACCACATCACACAGTACAGTGTCAAGTAGACAAGAATGTACTGGACACTACAAGCTATGAAGTGCTAACCAAATACATCTTTACAAATCCAGTACTGTTTCTAATTTGACTCAGGCCTAGCTTCACAATTCAACTGCAAACTGTACACTCATCTTACATAAGTAAGATGACAAAGGGAAGAAAAATTTTTGGGAAAAAAACCCGGCAATACACAACTTCAGAAAGCAGCTGCAACATAGTAGAAGGCACGTGAAAGTTGTTTATAAAATTCTTCCTTGCCTTCTTCCTTCTTAATCTCTCTAAAAAGGAAGCAAATGTATCTCCTATATTTCTTACAGATTGAAAAATATACATATTTTCATAAACTCAGGAGATGGTCTGAGTAGTGTGTGCTTGACAGATCATTAGAGTGAACATTTTCCCTGATATTCACCAAACACATAAAACTGTTATGCAAATGTATATATTGTTCCAACTTCGTGAACTAGTTAACCATTTCAAAAGATATTACAGCAACAATTTTTCTAGGTAATTTTTATAGAGCAGGTTTCTTGGCAATTCAATCCTATTTTTCTTCAGATGCAACGAAATCTGAATTTTTTAAGGCTAATCAATTCAATGTATGCAAGGGGCCATATATGCTGGTAAGCAATTAGGTCAATGGACTTGGATACTCAACTATATTTTGGCAATAATAGAAAGAGATCTAGAATATGCAACATTACAAAGAGCTTTGATTACTCTGTGTGTTGATATTGTACAGATGGATATTAAAGTGAACCCTATGATCATAAAGCAGAATAACATACTTTTTGATATGTTGTTTTAGCTGTGTGAGCAAATTCTTGGTCTTGCAGTACTTTTTGTGTATCAGCATTGAGAGCCTCTAGCTGCTTTATCAGCTCAGCCTGCTGTGTTGTATCTTCAATGTTTTGTCTGTAAAGATTCTGTGGCTCCTCTAACTCCTTCCTGTGCAAAACAAGAAGTAAAGAGAAATTAAGAAAAAGAACAATGCCCTCTGTTAAAAAATTGTATGCAAATAATTTAAATTGTAGATAATGAGCTTCCTATCTTCATTTATTTTTCTGTCAACTGTTTTACAAACACTGTAAATTACATATTAAATATTTATCATACACTTTTGAGAAATACCTACAAAACACTTAACTTTCAAAATGGAATGCCTATTTCCCTGTAATGCTTTAATTGCTCTAAAATGAATAAATTTTCACTACTTTATCTTTTTCTAATCAATATGCAGTTAACTCTTTAGCAGTGCCAAAATGTAAAATATGTAGAATACATCAACTGTAAACAGTTTAGGTCTCTTTTTGCTTAGAACAATCAGAAAAAGGTAAAACTTTTTTCTGAATTTGCAGAGTATATGTGAAGCAAGCTTTTTTTCTGAAATGCATCAACTCCCTAGACACATGAATATGTTTGCTGATAAATTACTTTTTGTCTGCAGGTATGGCATATTGCAACAACCATTAAAAAAGTAAGCAAAAACTTTGGTGCATATTATATAACATAATAAAAGCCCTATAAAAACAATAATAGGAATGGTGTTATAATGCAGCCATAGGATAGAACTAGTATAATCAACTTTCTTGACAATTTTACTGTACTGATGATAGATTTTCTAAATTAAGATCAAAGTACAGTAACACTTACAATAAACAATGATTAAAACTTCAAAAATTTTCTGTAACATATATTAAAAGTACAGATGACTCTATTAATCCCTGTTCATATATTTTCTACTTAATTCCCTTTTATTTCATAAGCACATTTCACACTAATATTACACAGAGATACCAAAATATATATTTAGCACTCCAACTAATTTTCTTCCTTACTTCTTCAAAAAATTGTCTACGTAACCTCTAACATATACATAACATTTCTGTGACTTGAATTCTCATTAACAGGAGTTATCATCGTATTTTTCTAATGCTTCTGGAGATATTCAGACAAAGATTAGTGTACAAAAGGTAAGCAGCAATACCAACTTCATTGTCATCTTCCAGGAAAAACAGAACAACAAATAAACAATTTTAAGGGAAGTTCACAGATTTTTTTTTTAATTAAAACATATGCCACTAATTAGGGTTTGTGACTAAACTATTATTCAATATAGATGCATGCAAATAATTATGCAAGAATTTAAATTACATGTACAACATGACAGTCAATTTTATTTTGTTAAGAAGCACCATTTTAGAAAGTATGCTAACAGAGCAACAAAGGATAACACTTAAGGACACGCTAACCATGCTTATTAGGACTTAATGTTAAGTCCTGCTGTTCTAAATGAATTGTAAAGTAGTTCCCCAAAGTTAACACGGGTAGAGATACATGAAAGACTCCTGATGTAAGAAAGTGCCACTGCAGTATGTAATGCATATGTACTAATTTAATTCCATTCAGAAGAATAGCAGCAGAAACACAGACACAGTGATATATATACATGTGTGTGTATATATATGTGTGTGTATATATTAGTGCTTTCTGACAGCTTTACAACAGGCTTCCAAAAAACCACTTCTTTTATTTCCCTGTGTGCATATATTATAGAAAATAACACATCTTTTCACTGCAGATAGTGAAAACACATATTATATTAATTTTGCACAGGTTCTCCAATCAGATCTTCATTTTATTGCAAGAGAAAAACATGGGATAATGTTGAATCCTCAAGACCAGTCTGCTATATTGCTACTCTTTAATTTGTATGCAAACATCAGTGCAGTTATCTGTGTCTGTCACCCGAGAATGCAGTATTATGTGTTCTCTAATGGTCTGCCCACAAAGTGTATTAAGGTCAATGGGAATCTTATTTGTTGACTTTATCAGGCTTCCAGTTATATCCTTAAGGGGAGGCGGTGGGAGGGGGAAACTAAGTCTTGCAGCCACACAAGAACAACAGCAGAGTCAGAACATATTAACATGTTGGCTTATGTTAAATTCAAGGCTTTTTAAGTGTAAGAAAACTCAGTCACAGCTCCATTACAATACATATTAAAAATAAAACTTTATTTATTCATACTTCTACTTAACTTGCTTTTGTCTTTAGTGAATGAGGCACTATTTTTGCATAAAACACTGCAAATCAATGGGGGAGCCCTCTTTTACTTCACTTTTATAGACCAATATGGAAATTATGGTAACCTTACCAGGCACTATTCAGTATCAATGTGCAATACAAATAAATGCACATAAATAAGCACCTTTGATAATAGTTGAACCAGATCAACGAGGGGTGCTTTAAACTAGGAATGGCAGGGATCAAAGATGTTGATGAAATGACAAGCGAGGGAGTTGTGGCCTCGACTGGCAGGCAGAAGTAGACAGATAGACATGGACAGAAAAGATCTTGTGATTAGCAGCAGAATGTTCAGGAAGAATGTTCATTTTATATACATAAATAACAGAGTGCTCACTGTATGAGGGAGGTTCTTAAGAGTCTTCCTGATGACAGGGGAAACGGGTGATGACGTCTTCACAAACAACTCAATCTGAAAAAAGCCAGTCAAGTTCTGGAGAAGTGGATGTGGAGGCCTTCAGAAATATCAAGCAAGTTTGTTGCAGAACTGAGTTCAGGCTGAACTTCAGGGAAAAACAAGAAGACTTAATAGACTTATGAATATTAACTTTTCCAGCCAGGCTGGGCTTAAAGCTAATTTAAAGGCCTTGCAATGCATGATGGAGGTTGGGGGGATACATCTTACAGGAGGAATATGTAGTAGGTGCTTCAGGAAGGCCAATGGGGAAAGGAGGATGGCAAAATGCAGTCAGGAGTTTAGGATAAAAGGAGGCCATGTCTTCCAAAAACCTGACAGACACCATAGGGATATGGCCTAGTGGATTCTCTAGCTTTATTCAAATGAAGTTGATTCTTGCAGGACTCCTCTGTCTCCTTTGCAGAAACTAGCCTCTTACAGCATGATTTTTCATGCAGTGGGATATAAGCACAAACAGGTGCCTATCTGAAGCTGCTGTTCAAATGGACACAGCACATCTCCATGGAAGAAAATGGGAGCAATGAGAGATCTGTCTGCACCTGCTGCACTCAGTGGGATCACACAGACAAGCACATGACTGAAACACTGGATACAGGTTCTTTAGGAAGGCCTATGTTCAAAAGGAAGGTTCTTGGAAACTAGAGCAGTTAACTACATCTAAGTCTGTAGGAAGGCAATGGACCACATAATGGAGAAGATGATCACTAGGAGTTGTAAGGGGAAATAATATTTACAGATTCATAGAATATTCTTAGCTGGAAAGGGACCACAATGATCAGCAAGTACAACTTTCAAGTAAATGGCTCATACAGGGACTGAAACCACAGCCTTGATGTTATTAGCACCATGCTCTAACCAACTAGTCTGGCAGCCTTCTCTGAGGGAATTACTATCTCAGTCGATAAGGGGTGAGCACAGGACGTTCCTCTTTTTGATTGTACTAAGATTTTTGACACAGTCTCTCAAAAATACTATAGACAGACTGATAAGTGGACAGTAAAGTTCCCTTGAACTGGTAGAACTGCAGGGTTTGAAGAGTTTTGATCAATGATGCCAAGTCCATTTCAAGGCCAGGCACTAAAGGAGTAGCCTAGAGGCTAACATCAGGGCTACCACTTTTCAACATCATCATTAATGACCCAGACAATGGGACAGAATGTACCATGGCAACCTTGCTAAAGGCACAAAGAAGAGGCAGTCTGCAACAGATGTTTGTGCTGCCATTGACAGGGACCTTGACAGACCAGACAAACTGGCTGGACAGGAGCCTTATGAAGCTCAACAAAGACAAGTGTAAAATTACTGCCCCAGGAGGTAATAATCCTGTGCAAAAGCACAATCTGGGAACAGACATGCTGGAAAGCACCTTGTCAGAAAATGCCCTGGGGATCCTGGTGGACACCTGAGTGGCTATCAGATAATAATGTGGCCTTGTGCCAAATGCCAATGAAATCCTGAGCTGTGCAGAGGATAGTGGTGGCAGCAGAGAAAGGGAGGTGATCCTTCCCCTCTAGTCAGAAGTTTTAAGACACATCTTGATGCTGTGTCCAGTTCTGGGCTCCCCAGTACAAGAGAAACATGGCTGGAGAGAGCCAACGAAGGGCCACAAAGATAATCTAAGTATTGCAGCATCTGCTATACATAGAGAGCCTGGGAAAGTGTGGTCTGCTCAGCCTGCAGAAGGGGTAGTTCAGTGGCAACTGAACTACCAACATCTATAAATACCTGATGGCAATCCAGAAAGAAGATGTAGATGCATTCTTGTAGGTGGTGATCAGTGACAGGAAAAGAGACAATGAGTACCAATAAAAACCAGATGAAATTTCAGCGAAATATAGTAAAAATATCTACTAAAAATGACCAAACACTGGAAGAGCCAACTCAGAGAGGTTGCAGAGTCTCCATTCTTGGACATACCCAGTTTGGACACAGTACTGGGCAGCCTGCTGTTACTAGGATCTACTGGAGGAGAGTACTACATCATCTCCAGAGGTGTCTGCCAGCTTCAGCCTCTCAGTGGTTCTCTGTGATTCTGTTACTAATCTGTTTGTCCTGTGGTCAGAGTATTCAAAATCAACCTCAAAATATTTATTAACATGCTTACTCTAAGCAGCAAACAATGAACACTCTACAAGATAGGCACCTTATCCTGTCACTGCAGCAAGATAAGCATGTCAAGTCCTCAGAAAAACTATTAACTTGGGTGAGCAAGTAAGAGAAGAAATAACCAAAACTCACTAACTGAATGTAACCAGTATAACAAGTGGCATTTAACATATATGAGCCATTACCCACACTATATGCAGGCATCTATACATACATACCAGATATATAAAAAGATATACATCTACATATGAAATATATAAATTATACTTAAGCATGTACATACATACATAGATACATACAGATATACATATACAAATATAAGCACATGATGATAAAATGTTTCAACATACTATACATTTTAAAGAAATACAATTTTAAGAAAAAGTCACCATGAGCAACAGTAATTGAAAAAAACTATCAGCTAAGACCCAAACTGCAGCACTTAAATCTACTTTTTTCCATAGCCCTAAACCTCCCAAAAATTAGCAGACTATGATACACTAAGAGCTTTTAACTTTTTAAAGAGTAAAGTCAGCAGGTAGTACTGAGAATTTAAAAAAAAAAAAAAAATCTCACACCTTAAGAAGAATACAATGGAAAATTAAGAAATTTACAGGAAGTGACCTGCACTCTTCAAGCAAAAAGGAAGAGTGTGCTATGAAAAACAGTCTGGTTTTTCTCACATCAAAATAGAAGAGCATTACTAAATTATTTCAATACCTGAAGTAAGACGGTTGGTACAGTAGCCTTAGTAGACTTTGCTTTCAGCATTGCAAGGCCGATGCTACGTGAAGACACCACAAAAGCAGACAGCAGCACGACTCAAATATCTGACACCTTTTACAACCAGTAACAATATTTAAGTCACTAATATTGCTTAGGGTAGAAATGTCTGGTGCTCACAGACATTTCCTTCTATCCTTAAAACATAAGATTAAATAAAACCTTTCTGTCTTGGTAGGGGAAAGGGGCCTTGTATGCCCCTACCAATGGTTTTACAGTAACCTGTAGCTTCCCAGAGATGTAAATGAAATTAATAGCTATTGCCATTCCACATGCTAGGTAACCTTGCTACAAACAGAATTAAGAACCTACACATCATTTCAGGTGATGTTCTTAGCTTTGTTTCACCACCACAATTCTGGTGAATATACTCGGACTTTGAGCTCAGCTGCCCCTGTTACCAAGGGAATACAAGGTGGTTTGGGGTAATTCAACAAATCTTTAGATTCCATTACCTAAAAATAGTCTAAAAGTAGTCTAAAAATAAAGCACAGTGACAGGTCCTATAGATTATGACTTCTCGTGGAAATGGCATAAATACTACAAAATGGTTTTCAGCTCACAGCAAAGAATAACCCGAAAAATCCAATAGGAGCAAAACAAGATTTGAGTGAAAATCTGACTGCTTCATAATTTACAGCAACTACATTGGAAGAGGTGGTGAACAGGGTGGGGGCACAGAGGGTGAGGGAGTAAAAACAGGAACATTGTTAGAGAAAATAATAGTCGGAAAATCATCAGGGATAGATTTGGACTAGATACAAATAAAAGGAAAGAAGTCATGGCCCATATTTCCACTAAAAACACTGGAGCAAGAAATTAAAATTAATTTTAGAATATATTTTACTATATTTGCAAATAGTTTCATATTTCCTGGATACTTGTGACAGCAAGGCTCAAGTGAGTCAAACAGACCTCTCTAGCTTGATGTTCAGTGCTCCACTGTGTTCTGTGTCAGAGCACAAAGCTCTAGACTCTGGTATTTAGTGTAATTTTAAAGCAAAAAATCACCAAGCTTGAAAACGAAAAGGTTATCACGGACTCTAAAGAGATCCAGAAAATCTGTACTGAATGAAAACATGAAAAATATAACAAGAAAGTGCATTTCACATGTAATTCAGAAGCATGAAATTAAACCCAGTGAGGTGAAGAGTACTTTGCAAAAATTAAGCCAAAAAAATAAAGGTAATGGCTTCTTGAAGACATTCACCATACAGAATGTATCCTGCAAACACTGTTTGTTCACTGGTCCTAGAAATTGTATCTTCTACACCTCAAAACTATGTGGCAGACTTTTACTGACACACAGCAGTATTTTCAAGTATACCTTGTTATTCTGTAGAACCAGAGGTGCACTGGAGTATTTCTTCAATGTTTGATCTCTGCTAATTTGCTGAAGATAAAAATTCTCTTGATGTCTACAGACACACCTGTCACTAAAGCACACAAAATGATTCACATGACCACTCTCAGTGTCAGAACAAAACCTGTGACTTTATTCTCTGACTCCAGTACTTACAGATTCTCAGCAATGACCAGGGATTGGATAATTAAGCTACCACCTTACCAAGCATGCGATATGTCCATCAAAAGATGTTTCTTAGAAGAAATGTGATAAATAACTTATGTTTACAGGACTTTAATGGGAAAGTAACTAAAACTATGAAAACATTATCAGAAGGCTTAATTTTCAGGGTGACACACACCTACTGTTAAACTAAAAAAATCTCTTGCCAACAAACTGACAGATATGCACAGTGCAGGAAGTTGTGAATGCACAAGACACAGAGCTCTAGTCCACTATGTACATATTGCCTTGGAGACCTCCTTCTCCAATTGAACACAGCACCTAGTGCAAAAATTTTGGACAGCATTACCAAGGTGTCAGCAGATGTATTTTTCAAAATCTGCCTATGCTGTATATGAAAGAAAACACCAAATCAAGGAAGCCTTCCCTTTTTTCTTCTTCTTGTTTCTAATGATTTCAATTGTGTTCCTGCTCTGTTTTCACAGAATGAAAGGGTGGGGAATGTAGAAAGGCAGCAAACAGAGCACGGGGGAGAACAGACACATTTGCAAGACAGGTTGTCTTTTTCAGGTCTGAAGTTTGAAATTGATGATGGGAAACTGAAGATACTAGGGAGGATGGGGTATTTTTCACGCTATTTGTCAAAGAATTTTCTGCCAGCATCAAATGACAACCAATCATTCAATGTGATACTTTCATAAGACTAAATTTTAAATGGATTAAAAAAAACCAAACAGTTAACATAAATAGAAAAAATTGAATGTTTTAATCATGAAGCCAACACAGACTTTGTAAGACTTTGGCCTAGAAAGATGAGTAGATGGAAAGACTTCATATTCTCCTCAGATTTTTCCTTTAACTGCAGAGTTGTTACTTTAACTTAAATGACTTTTTTTGGACAAAGATTTGTATAATTTTTTTTTTCATTGAAAAACAATAGAAATGTAATTTTCTCTACATATTGACATCTCAGGAAGATAAGGAGAAGTGTCACTATTCTGTATTACAAAAGTACAAAATATTTGCAACTCTTAGTGTGTATTGCTAATTGCTGAAACTGTGAATTTTACATAATATAAGCTTAAGCCTTCTTTCTTCATAGCAGAAATGTCAACAAGAAATTTGTAGCTGAAGTTCATTGAGATTAGCAGACAGGCATTAGCAGACAATTAATTATCATGATACCAATCAAATATATACATACAGACATATGAAGCATAAGTCACATACTAGTGATATCAAAAAATACTATTAATTATTGCAATACAAACAAGAGTCTAGGAAGGAAAATATTAAAGCCCACAAAAAACAGCTATATGATTGCTTTACCAAACCGTTTTCCATGAATTTAGAGGACTGGTTATATGGAAAAACATAGAAGAAGATTTCAACTTAAAATAAATATGGTATTCATCTCTTTATTACCTCACGTTCAGACCTTATATTCAAAAATGTCCTTATTTTAATGAATTCTGCCAAACTATAAGAGGTTGTTTAGCAATTAATAGAAAAGACTACATTTTGAGAAATTTGAAGTTCAAAGATTTGGCCAATTCAGATTGCAATATCCTAAGCTGAAACCAGCAAGCAGTAACTTTGCAAACTTGATTACCTAAATGATTCTAAAATGTCTTCTTTGCTGTCCTCAGTCCTCATACATATATATTTTTTCTGAGAACAATTTCAGGAGATAAATTCTATTAGTCTATTGCTGAATTTTACAAATTCCACTGACTGCCTCTTTCAATACAATTTCCCAATAAACTTATATTCATTGACTTTTTAAAACCCATCTTTTTTCTTGTAAAGACATCATCTTTCTTATAGAGATTTCAACAAATAGACAATTTAGGTCAGATGCATCAGAAATCATATTTCTTGGTTTTCAGGGTTTTTTGGGGTTTTTCTTCCCAAAAAAACACTTAGATACTGACTCCTTACAGAGAGATTATTTGTGCTTGGAAAGTAAAGAGGAGTACCCTTACCAATGATTCCTACTTCCCAACAGCAGTTCTTTGGGCAAAACCACAATTTAAAGGAACGTTGAAGGGAACATTATTTATCTAAAATAAGAATGAAACACTATGCTTCTGAAATTAAGAAGTCAAACAAGAACAATCTCCTGACAATCCACTGAGTTACCAATTATCTTCTGACATTACATTCATTCTGGGGAATTCAGTAGTCCTTTCAATTCGTAGAATTCATTCTGTCCTTTAGTTTTTCCAAGACAGAAATAATGCAGCACTAATCTTACAGATTTGATGTAAAAAAAATAGTGTGTGAGACCTAAGATACAGCTTAAACCACTGCACTTTAAACGTTTAGCACCATCCTATGTAGACTTCTGCTGACTTGTCAGATTTGACTCTAATTAAAAAGTTAAACTTAGGCTTAAAGCTTTTTCAAGTTTAGGGTGTTTAGTCTTTCTAATTAATGTTTATGTCACTAATTATAATGTTACTTTTTTACTTTCAGTAGAGATTGGTAGTTCTTCGACCCAGTGCAAATTAAAGAAGTGTAATTTCTAAAGTCTATCACTACTCAAAAACAGGTAAGATATACCAAGAGTCAAAATGTATCAGAAAGTGTCTACATAAACTGGTAGACTTCCAAAAACCTTACCTCTTGTGAACAGAATGGTAAAACACACTGCTACACAAAAGTATCTCTAATGCATGATACCATTTTGCAAATAAAACAACAATCTTCCTAGAGGATTCAGACTTAAAGTTACTATGAAATAGTTACTTAGCTCCAACCACATCACAACCATTTTGGAAAAGTTCTTCCTGTTTCACGTCTACCTGAGATGGTAAGTTACTGCATATACTGTGTAAACTTTTTATTTTTTTCTTGTCTCTCCTAAATCAGTTTCCAAATTCTGCAAAGAAAGCATTTGAAATGCATTAATGAAGAAGAAATAGTTAAAATCTACTATGCAAGTAATCTATGTATATAGATATATAGATGTGCCCATACATGCATGCATACATTTATTGCAGTCTAAGCAAATGCATACCATTATATGTGCATGTATGAAAAATGTTAAATACCAGAAAAAAAAGGTGTACTTCAAATTTTAGGTGACAACCTTTTCTTTACTCTAAGAAGTTCTCCTTAACTCAGTTGCTGGATGTGGAAGGAGGATCCTGAATCAAATCTTTGCAAAACAGCACTTCCCTATTTAACTACGAAACTGATTATACCTTGTTTCTTATGTAGACATCCCTAAAAAAATAGCAGCTATGCATTCATTGTTTTAAGCTCTCACAAAAGTTTACAGTATTGTGTATATGAAGTATGAATCATAGATACAGATTCATTTTTGAGACTGCTTGTTAAATCTGTTTTTATTTTGCACTGCTAATTCAGTGCAAGGAACAGTTACTTCAGGAAAAGAAACCGCATACAAGAAAATTTCTGAAAGTACACACTGAAAACAACACAAACAAACAAGGTCTGCCTTTTACCATAAGCTCTACTGCTGAAATTAGTCAGCAAACTGCAAAGGTGTATCCAGGAAACACAGCAGCAAGGCAGCTTACTCAAACAAGACTTCAATCTCCACCTGGCTAGACCTTGCAATAAACCTTGCTAGAGTTCCCTCAGAAGAGCACATCAGTCCTTAGGAAACTTTGTATGATTATTCTCTCCAGAGGTCTTTGAGGCAAGAATGGAAATATAAATATTACAGCAATATCTAGAACAGAATTTCAGATGGTGGCAACAGCCTTAGACCTGCTTTGGTATTAAGCTACTCACAGATGCAATCACTCATTCTCAGTAAGGCAAATATTCCAAGATTCATTAATAATTTAAAATAAAATCCTCCTCGTAGAATATCATCCCTAATCTACTGCCAAAAGTGTACTAGTTTTCCATTTACATATACACTTAGTTAAAGAAATAAGAGAATGCACATTTTTCCCTTTCAGAAATGATGCCAATGCACATTTTTCCCTTTCAGAAATGATGCCTCAAATACTGTGGTTATCAAAATATTTCTATAACTGAAAAGTGAATAATGAATTTCTAAATAAATTAAATTCCTTAAAATTGCACAAAAATTTCTTATAGGTATTTAGATATATCAGAAGTGCACTACAATCAAATTCCTTGAAATTGTACAAGAACTATCATGTCCTGTTAGTAATAGTAACACTGATGTAAGGAAATAGCAAAATCTACATGTGAATGAGGTAGGAAATTAATTTGTTTCCTGACAAGTATCAGGCTACATACCTGTTGTAGTCAAATGAGTCACGATTCAATGTCAAAGACTAGGTGGAAAAATTTAATTTTTCCTTGAATAATGAAAAAATTCAAAATTATAAGAGACAGTTCACTATCAACACACACATTTTTTAAATTGTAATAAGGTATTTATAACTTGCAGACAAATAATTGTAGGGTTTCTCCTCAGTACTATTTTCCTCTGCAGCTAAAGGTATTGAATATGTGAACAAAAATTGTAATAGTTCATATATTCTGTGAATAAATTCTATTTGCCTATTTCTAATACTACACTATAGAGTTGCAGAGGTTTTCCATGGAAGAGATGAAAAAAATCTAACATTACCAATGCTTTAAATTCCCATCATCCATTGGAGAGTACAATACAATGAATATGTAACACATTATTTTGTCACAGATGCAACTTCAGAAGCAATATCTAATGAGAAAATTTAAGATCAGGAAAAAATATCTCTAAGTACTTTATTTGTGACATATTTGACTTCAAATAAGTCAAAGGTTTCAAGTAAGAAATCAATCAGTTCAACCTTTTTGAACATATTTTGAAAGCTTGAGTTTTTTGGAAGCATTACTGAAAGAGTAAAACATGAAAAAATGGAAGGGAAAAACTTGTTATACAAAATATTGCAATATTATATATTGATGTACAAAAGCTCAGCTGAATACTGACACCCAAAATAGAATCCTAGAATGGTCTGGATTAGGAAGGATCTGAAAGGTCATATGGTTCCAACCCCCCCTGCCATGGGCAGGGATATCTCCCTACTAAGTCAGGATACTCAAGGCCTTGTCCAGCCTGGTCTTGAACATTGCCAGGGTCAGGGCATCTGCAACCTCCCTGGGCAATCGGTTCTAGTGTCTCCTCATCCTCATAGTAAAGAATTGCTTCCTAATCTCTAACCTAAATTTCTCCTACAATTTGTATTCACTCCTCCTTGTCCTATCACCACAGTTCCTGACAAAGAGTCCTCCTGTTTCCCTGTGGGCCCTGGTCAGATCCTGGAAGGTCGTTCCATAGGAGTTTCTCTTCCTCAGCCTGGACTGCTGTCGTTCTGATTGGGAACGGCGATAAAGAACGACATGGACTCTCAAGGGAGTCACAACAGGAGAATTCTCTGGTTTATTACTTCAGGCCTGTTTTATAGACTGGTACGTGGAAAGTACAGAAAGGAAACTCTTATTGGTTAGCAAAGTGCTACATCACGGTCAGGGGGGGCTCACCACCCCCCTGACTCCCTCCTGCATGGAAAACAAGAGGACAGACAAACAGCACCTGGCAGTTGTTTTCTGTCTCTGAGGATTGTTTTGAAATCCTCCTATGAATTTCCCAGGCTAGCTTCTCAGGCAGGACTGAGAGGCCATGGGCCTGCAGTCTCTGCAGCTCCCTGCAGCCTGTTCCAAAGCTAGCATCCATAATTCACCCTTTCCGTTAGAAAAAATAAAAAAGCAGTGTTTGTTACATCCTACTGGGCCCTTGTAGGACAGAGAACAAACCCAGCTCAAGAGGTTTCTTTACTAGAACTTTGAATGGATGTTGATCTAGAATTTTGGTTTACGTTTTGATGTTTAAGAATTGTTTTCCTTGCAAGGACTTGATGGTTGAGTCTAATATTTCTAATTCAGTGAATTAGAACACACACTATATAAAACATTGTTAGTCTGTTCGAATTGACAGTCTAACTTGTCAATAGAGTAGTTTAAAAGAACACTAAAGTGATAAAACTCACATTAAGTACACTTAGATTTATACTCAATGACACTCTACTCAATTTTACTATGCAAAATCTATAAACTTTTTACAAATCAATTAACAATGCACAATGCAATTTATGATGCTTTGATCCCCCCTTCTTATCCCCCTTTTTTTTTTTTTTTCATTGGATTTTCTCTTTAAATATAATTGAGGGGTTTTTGAGGGATTTATAAAGTTTACATGGTTGTTGTTATTGTTCGTCGGGTTTTTTGACTGGATTGTGCTGAATGAGGAAGTTTATGGAGGTTTCACTAAGGATGGATAGGATGCAGACTCGTTTAGGATGATTTTTGGTTGTTAGAACAGCAGTTTGTAAATTTCTGGGAGGTTCAGGGAATTCGAAGTTACCATCTCTTCGTGGCTGGTTGTCAGCTCTGTAAACACAAGACTTAAAAGGTACAAGGTGAGTAAATTTGGGTCCCGCAGGGACTGCAGGACTTTGGCACGGCTCAGGTCATTGGAGCCAACGGACATGGCACCGACCCCGAGGCATCTCCTCGGGCCGGTGCGGAAGGTCCTGGCGGGGGGCTTGTTGCTCTGTTTCCCTCCCCCGCCACTTTTTTGCTGGTACTTCGGATGTGTGCGGGGGGGCGCGGGGCCGCAGAACTCGGCCCGGCGCTCTCCAGCACAGCAAGCGCGGGGGGAGCGAGGCTCGCCCTCCTCCTCTCCCCGCACCTCCCCGCTGGAGCGTGGGGGGAGCGCGGCTGAGCACGGAGGGAGCGAGGTGGGCGCGGGGCTAGCGCGTCCCGCGCACGCGCGGGGCGAGCGAGGCTGCCGGCCCCCCCTGCCGCTTTCTCGCCGGCACTTCGGACGTGGGGAAGNGCCGCGGCCGGTGGCGGCGGGCAGGTGCAGGGGGAACGAGGTTGCTGTTCCCCCTCCCCCCGCCGCTTCTCTGCCGGGGGGAGCCGCACGCCCCGCCGTGTTGGTACACGGGGGGTTTTTCTGTTGGCAAAGCCCGCGCGCCAAGCTCCGCGGATGGCGGGCGCTCAAACTGTTCTGGAGAGGGAGATCTCTGGCTTGCGGATTGCTCTTGTTCGCTGCTAAAGTCCTCCGAGGGTCCGGGTAGAGCCGAAAGAGCACTACGCAGCTCATCCACGGTTTCATCTCCCAGTCCCTCATCTTGTACAATGGAGGAACTTTCGGCATCAAAGTTTCTCATCTTGGTTTCACTGTTTTTAGGCTGGCACTGTTCCAGTGCCCTAAAGATCACTCTCCATGTTGCTGCTAAGTCGCACGCACTGGTATTTCCCGCAACTAGCTCAGTCTACAGGTGGTCCCCTGCTGACCACCAAATCTCAAGGTCAAACACACCATTCACAGTCATAGCAAACTCCTGCGCTTTCACCCAGTGGAACAAAGCGCGCATATCTTCTTCAGGAATACAGAGTCTTACGCTCAGCAATTCAGGAATACAGAGTCTTATGCTCAGCAAGGCATTTTTCCATGCAAGGCAGACCAGCTGCTCGTTAGTTAAATTACAGTTTTCTATTATGAAAACTTTATCTTGGCGGCTCCGCGAATGCAGTAATGCAGATGCTATTGGCTCTGACCCGGGACTTCGAGCTCTGCTTCGCCAAGACGGCTGTTCCAAGCCCGCTCACCGGCAGGCTCCACTATCCCGTTGGTTTTCAAAACCAGCTTCCTCTAGGAAAGCCCGGGAGAATTCCACTTACCCCTCCAGGGGGAAGGGCTGGCTTTTTTCCCGCTCGCTGCTTACCCTCAGGGGATTAGCAGGTGTCATCATGTCGGTTGCTTTCTGACCTCGGGGGTCGGCTGCACATCACATCGGGTTACCGGACCTCGGGGGTCGGTTCAACATCACGTCGGGGTCACCAGATGTCGTTCCGATTGGGAATGGCTAGAAAGAACGACACTGGACTCTCAAGGGAGTCACAACAGGAGAATTCTCTCGTTTATTACTTCAGGCCTGTTTTATAGACTGGTACGTGGAAAGTACAGAAAGGAAACTCTTATTGGTTAGCAAAGTGCTACATCACCATCATTGGTCAGGGGGGGCTCACCACCCCCCTGACTCCCTCCTGCAAGGAAAACAAGAGGACAGACAAACAGCACCTGGCAGTTGTTTTCTGTCTCTGAGGATTGTTTTGAAATCCTCCTATGAATTTCCCAGGCTAGCTTCTCAGGCAGGACTGAGAGGCCATGGGCCTGCAGCCTGCTCCAAAGCTAGCATCCATAGACTGCCACAACCTGCTCAGTCTGTCTTTGTAGGGAAGGTGGTCCAGTGCACTCATGGCCCTCCTCCAGACTTGCTACAGGAGTACCACATCCTTCTCATGTTAGGAGTACCAGAACTATACAGGGCACTCCTGGTGGGGTCTCACAAGGGCTCAGCAGAGGGGGAAAATCACCTCCTTTGGCCTGCTGAGGCACCTCTTTCAATGCAGCTCATGACACGGACCTCTGGGCTGCAGCTGCATGTTGCTGGCTCATGTTGAGTTTTCATCAACATCATACTTTTGACCACGAAGTAACCTATAATATTTTACACTCAATTTCTGAGCATATGCACTTTTAAGATCATATGGAATGTATCACATTCCCTTGTTGATACTGTAGTCAAAAAATTTAATGCGTAAACATGCTAGGTAAATTTGTGAAAATTTACCTAGCACAAATACTCCTAATCTGGGTTTTTAAATTACAATCCATTTCAATGGACAATGTTTAAAATACAGGCTTTTTAAAGCCTATTTTTTTAAAAAAAAGCACCACTTAAAATAGTCAAGGCATCAAATAATTCAGTTATATGAGAGAGAAAAATGCATATTTATAGATGGCACAATACAAGACAGCACAAGAAAAGGTGAATTTAAAAGAGCTTCAAACATGAAAAGCATAAAAAAAAACAAGGGATGAGGAAGCACAGTTATGCCCATTATGGAGTCACTCTGAATTAACACCACAGTTTTGTTATTTGTAGCTTCAAACCCTTTGAAAGTCACTTTCAAAGACAGTAGCTTTGTTTTCATGTTTTTTCCTGTTATATATTATGACAGAAGTGAGAGTAATTTTTCAAGGTCCCATCTCAATAAAACTCTCATTTTTCAGTGGAACTAAATCCAGGCTCCTCTTGAGAGAGATGGCTGTTTCTTTGGAAGTTCTGACCTTCAGACTTCAGACACTTCAAAAAGTACTGTGCTAACTAGGAATTAACAAAAATAAACAAACAACTCACCAGTAAGAAATTCCACTATCTTTTACTTCACTTCCACTTAAAATCTGCCAGTCTGACATTTTTTCATCTACATACAAAGCCTTTTGTGACTTGAGTTTGGGGAAAAATACATTCATCTTGATACTAAACAATAGCTTAAGTAACCTCCACCTAACGAACAACGAAATAAATAACTAATTGATACTTAGATAGGGAGACAAGCTGGCTGATAGACAACTTTTCCATTTGTTCACTTTTAGGACATATAGAAAGCTGATATATAAGCTCTGGGAAGCACAAAAGAAGCACAAAAAGTTCTCAAGAACTACTTTAGGTAGAAACCAAAGACTTAATCAACTTCCTGTACACTCTACATAATTTATATGAAGGTAGATACAGAAAAGACAGACAATAAAACACTGTTGTCAGCTTTTTAGCCATCTTTTCAGGTATCCTCCTGTTAACCTGTCTCACTCTGATTTCAGCTAATACAACAAAACTTTAAAGAAATGTTCTGTAAAAGGACAAATGATCCATAGCAGCTTTTCCTTTCTCTCAATTTGAAGAAGTTGAATTTTATACCTGATTATGGTAGGTTACAATAGCAACCAGCCATTGAAAGGGAAAAGTGGCACTTTTCTTCAATGGAAATGGTTTGAAGACAGGAAAAAAAAAAAAAAAAAAAGGCTAATAACACTTCAGCCTTTGCACAGGTGACTATTCCAAAGAAGCAATCAGTAATTAAGATCTCATATTTCTACCATCTAATACATATTTTAAAGGCAATGTTGGGCTAGCTTATATTGATAAGGATTAATTTTATTCTTTCAAACACAGGAGACTTATATAGATAACATCAGTATGCAACAAATCATTAAGATTCTTAAATGGCATTTTTATTACTGAAAAACATGTACAAAAAGATGCTGATTCAACTCCCAAATTAAAGGGTGAGAGGCAGCCAACATTCTCAGCACCCCTAGATGCAGTTCATTTCAGGTTGTCCCAATGGATGTGTACTAGTCAAGTCCTCTCAGGTATCTTCCGACACATCCACTCTTAGTATGTCACACTGAAGTCTGTCTCTAGGCAGAAACTTTTGGGGACACCTTGGATAAGACTGAGGCAAAAACAATTCTTTAGTACCTCTGCTGTATTTATTAACTTTTGTAATTAATTCACTGTTCCATTTCAGCACCAGGTCCCCATTTCCCTTGTTCATCCTTTCACTGAACAGTTCAAGAAATTCTGGTTGTATCAGTCATTATTTGCAACTCTCAACTGCAGGTAGGTCACTACCACCCTTCAGTGTCCAGACAATGTTTCTGAACTCCCCCTCTACAGCTTTCCTCATTTCCACTTCCTGAATACTGTTTTTCACCTGCAGCCTACACTGGAGTCCAGTGGTGAATTCCATTTAGTCAAGCTGATCTCCCGAGATATCCACTTTTTTTCCCAAGTGGACCTTCATACCTGAGCTTGGAGGAAGCTTTCTTTAAAGACATGGTAGCCCTTCCTGAGCATTTTATTCTTCAAAACTGATTCTCACAGGATTCCACCTACAAGTTTCCTGAACAGCTGAAGACTCTGCTTCTTAACTCCAGGGCTGTACTGTGCTGCTTTCCTTCCATCATTGTCTCAAGGTCTTGGCCTCGACAACTTTATGGTCATTACAGCCAAGACTGCAACTGATTCTTATTTTCTTAACCTGTTCTTCCTAGTATGTAAACAGCATATCCAGCTCAATGACATCCCTGGCTGTCTCAGGCAACACTTATCCCGAGAAGTACCTTCCTTTCACATTCTAGGCACCAACTCGACCTGCTTGTAACACCCCTCTGAAAAACCACCACTAATTCCCATCCGTACAATCGCCCAGCTCTTTCATCCGTCAGCACGCCTCATCAGACGGGAAGACAGAGACGTAAAAGTTACTCTGATTGTGTTCATTGAAGGGATGGGTAACAGATTTTTAATAACTTGTCCAATATTACAAGCACTAAATTGGGCAACTTAAAAATTATTTTAGCAGTTTGGAACACATTAGATTTTTTTTCTTCCAAGAATCAACAAATCATTACTTGTCCTGGGAACTCTATAGTCCTCTAATCATAACCAGTCTGAAGAAGTTAATTTGAAGCAACTTTACTTCAAATGTTAAAAATCTGAATTAAGCTCTTTCAACAGAGTTTCCATTACCAGAACAATCCAAAGCATCACCAAAATCGCTAGTGCAAGAAAAAAAGGGCGTTTCTGGGTGAGGTGTTAATTCCATAGTTATTGCAATGAATGTATTTCAATAATAAAAGAACACAGCATTGCAAGTATATATTCATCATGTAAATAAAAATAATCCCATACCTAGATGTGTATATAAGCAGCTGTTGAATTAAGATAAGCCATGTTTGTGGCTCATTTATTAGAAAAATTTTAAAAACACTAGCCAATTTCCACCAGGAAAGAAGAAAAACTAACATTTAAATAAAAACTACTCTGTAGTGTGTATTCAGTTATTTCCTTTCTTTGCTTTATCATAAACTATGAAAATAACTTTTTAATATATTGTAAGCAATAAGACACCTCACAGAACAGAGACTTTTGGAGGCTAGGACGCAATTTATTTGGAACTACATGTTCTTCCAAAACAACAAAGATTAAGTCTACTGCAACAAGACTATAAGTAAGTAAATTACAAATCAAGAAAAAAATTGTTGTAATACTTTCAAGCTTTTATTATTTCACACTCATATATATATTTTTATGTATATATATATATGTTATCTCAAAATACAGCATCTTTTACTTTTTAATGATTACATTTTAAGATGACTATTTGAAGTCAGATTCCTGCTTTGCAGCATCAATTTTTAAAAAGCTGTGGGTCTTAAGTGATAGCATGTAAATGAATGCAAGTCCCCACTGGTAGATTTGAATATATAACTTGCTATGTAAAGAAAATAACTTGTAATGAAATGTCTGGAGAAGTTAATTCTCAAATAACATCCAGGAGTCCATTCCGCTTCGTACCTCTATTCTGGCATCATTGCCAGATTTTTCTTTTTACCATTGTGCCTCCTGCTTCCTCAGTTTCTCCAGGTCACTTAGCAGGTCAGCACAGCATATATTTAATCCCTTATTTTCCTCCTCCAGGTTTTTTATAACCAGTCTGTTTTGCTCTTCCTTCTTCTGTGCACACTCCTCAGTGTCCTGTAGAACAGTACCACAAGGGCCGATAAACAAAAAAGTGAGAACTAATCAGCAAATATAAACTGTGCAGTTTTACCCTCACAGCAGCTTCTATATTTGATGGCCAAGGTCACCTGTGTACTTTTATTGGCCTCTTTCATGCAGGTGGAAGGGTCATATTTTTTAGCTGGATGACAGCTTTGATGAGTACACATTTGCAAAGAGCCCATTAATTGATCAAGCTGCCTTTGATGCTGTCCCCAGCTATTTTTGAGACCCACACAGACATATCCTCCCAGACCTCAGCTTTATCAATTAATAATGCCAGTCCCATCAGAATCTAATTACAAGAAGCCACATCTTCACACTTCTACTTTCTTTGCTCCATTTCCATCATTAACTATTTATCTGAAAGTTATAAAGCTTGGATTCTTGGCTTTAAAGCATCTTTCTCAGTTGGTATGTGAGAAAACGGCAAGGTATAGCAAGGCCTAAGGCAATTTTTTCTCCAAGCTTGTCACTTTCTGTGCCACAAAGGCTGACACTGCTTAAAGAACTACTTCAAAGCTACAGTCTTATGAAACTATGTACAAGTCAATATACCTTAAGTTCTTGGCTTTTATCTTTAAATTTCCAGTTCAAGTTACCGAATTCATTCTTCAAACGGGCATTTTCCTCATCCACAGCACTTTTTCTCTGCATTAAGTTGTTTATCTCCTGCTGCTGTCCTGTGAGCCTCTATTTAAAAAAAAACAAAAAACCCTGTTCTTAGACAAAAAAGCAAGTGCAAAAGAGCATGCATGTTCTGTGTTTTAGGCCTACAAAATTTAACTATCTGACATGTGAAGTTTTTAAAGCATTATTTTGATTCCACTAGCACTTCAATCATACTCAATGACTGTAAGATACAGTAATGCAAATGAGGAGCCAAATATCCTGCTGCTACTGAACAAAGAAGCCTATAAATGCAGAACTGAAGGGAAATTACTCAGTGAAGCTTATGCAAAAACAGACATTTACAGAAGTTATATCTGTGTTTATGGATTAAGAATGCATTAGAATACTGTTTAACTTGCATTTCTAGCACATCAAAAATCAAGCCAGAGCTGAATTCAAAATTCTCCAGAATTTCCAGAATTTGTCACAGTAAACAGAAACGACTATTGATCTCCGAAAATGACTATGATGCAAAATATTTTTAAAGAGAATTAAGTCTGGCTGAATTTGCAGCTCAAGTAAAATAATACAACACTGCTCAACACAGACTACGGGTTACTTCACCCACATATAGAAAAATCTCTGCCATAAAACAAGAACTTCACATTTCTGTGATAATTTAATTTGATTTTCATGACTCTTGCATTAAATCAATGCCTATTTTTTCCAGAAGTCTACTTTAATCCAACGTTCTGTTTTGTCCCATCTCTTTCTAAATCAAAAGGGTTTTAATCTATAATATTTTCCTAGCAGTGAATACTAGTGTACCACCATAACTGTGTCACAAAACTGATGAAACTTTCATGTCAGTACTGAAGTATAACTGCTTTGCTTTTAATACATAAGCTAAAATGAAACACGTACAGAAACATAAAAAATCATCAACAAGACAATAATCATCTCAATTATTCTACATCTGATAATATTCTTGAGAATTTTCAGTGTCTAAAGCTTCCATATGGTTCATAAGTATGTCAGACATTAAAAAAGAATAAAGATACACTGAATAAAGACACAGAAAACAGTACATTTGAAGTCACATTTCACCTTTCAAATGACAAAATATTTCTTCTTTGGATAAATTATTACATTTACAGAAATAAACTGTTGCTGGCAGAAATTATTTAGTTGTATCTTTAAAAAGGTATGTATTCACATTACTATGAAAAGCATCAGAAATTTTGGGTTTTTACCCTCCCACTCCCCAGGTCCTCATGGAATTGGAGTAAGCAGCTTCTTAAGACTCCTTCGAGTCTTCCTTCTAGCTCATTACTACTTACTTAACATTTATAAAAAAAAAAGCCTGTACTTGGAGACACCCTTAAAACATCATTAAAAATCTCACCTACCTGAGACTCATGGCTCTGAGCTAAAAGTTCACAAACACACATTTTTATAAAAGATCCAGCTCTTTAAGGCATCTAATTTCTGAGTACACAGGTACATCACACTACTACTTAGTTTCATTATACACTGTGCAGAAACTGGGAAGCATATGCGTATTTGTGAAATGAAATCTGAGATATTTGGGTTCTGTTTTAAATGGGATGTTTTCCAGCAACTTAGAGAATAAACAGACAAGATGGTGCAAAAATACAACTAGCTGCTTCAAATGTTTATTCTCAATTTAAGTTTCCAAGCAAAATAAACTACTTACTGTGAATATTCAGAATAGTTAGACAGGTTATCCTGAATCAGACTTGCACACTAATTACTTATCTCCACAACTGAACTGTTAAACATTTTAAATCAATCAAAAGACAGATATACCCCATCAATCACTAAGCAGCAAACTCGCCTAAGTAATCTACGAAGTCCTCTACTACAGCAGTAGTAATTATCCAGGTGAGTTACACTTGCATGGAAAAAATCCTGTTATGTTTCAAATGGTTTTTCTGGGGTATCACTTTGCATACTCTTATCTTTTCCTCTAAATGAATTCAACTTTTACTCTCGTATCTGCTTATTTCACATGCTTACAAAGAAGGGAAAAAAAACAATAAGTATTACTCAGGAGCCATAACTGGGTAGAAATAAGGGTCATAAAAAGGAATTTCTGAGATACAGACAATTAAGGAAGTCTGCCCTTTCCTGTGCAGCTGTTTTCATACTTTGCTTCCTCAACCTATGTATTACTTCATATAATAGGAGAGTAAAGATTGATTTCTTACTGCAGAGAACACAAGCAGTGTTCCTATAAGACTACTCTAGTCTGGTAGGCAAGTGAAACAGCAGAGGAAAAAAACATACCTGATCAACACACAGGGCAACCTCCTACATGAGGTTATTTTGACAGATTTCACTTGGTAAAACACCCATCAGGAATTCATCTATTCCCATAGTATCTACTGATTTTTGTCTAGCTACTATAAAGACAGTCTGACACCACACAAGAACAATCTCAACTTATACTTTGAGTCAACTCAGTCATACTTGTTTGAATACAACAGGGCAAAAGCAATGTTTGACAGGTTCTTGGCCTGGTGGTCAAGAACCATAAAAAACTCACATGCAACTAAGGCATCTAAAGCACATTTCAACAATCTTCCAAGAAAGAAAACTATTCTAAAGTGAATTTGCTCCAATGAAAACCAAAAGAAACTGATTTTACCTGTCTGTTTAGCTGGGAAGAATCAAAGGGTATCCCCTGTATACTGCTGGAGCCTAGAGTGCTCGAGGCAACAGTAGATAGAAAGAAACACTGTGACCTAGTGGAACAGACCTTTTGATGTCTCAGAGGGCTGTCATTCCCAAATTCATTTTCATCCTTTCCTATGGCATCTCTTTACCTACAGCACAATACAGGTTGTTTTTTTTTCTTCTGTAATACACTGCTTATTGGCAAATACTATTTATTTTTTACAGACCTTCATATTAATCTGAAGAGGAAGCAAAATCACATACCAAGTCTAACTGAGAAAATCTGCTATGAAAACTACAGATCAAAACCAAAAGGTGACAATAGCCCTTTATTGTCTTAGTGCTGAACACATCAATCTGTTCATATCTGTCCACACTTCATGTGAATAGACATAAATAAAAGGTTTTAAATTAAAACATCATTTTTACCCTCTGTGAATTTAGACAGTATAGTACTGTATGGAGACAGTGAAAGTGGTGACAAAAGCAACTCTTCAATGATTCTGATTCCAAAAAAGAATGAGTTAGGATACAACTACCAGAAGTTTCATACTGTTTGATATTGCAGATATCATCACTGAAATTCAAGTCTTTAGTGAAATATTTTTTAATCTGCTACATAAAAAGCCTGTGGAAAGAACTATGGAACAACAGCTGTACGTGTTATTATTGCATTAAGTGCTTTCCAAATTTTCATATTTTGGGAGTCAAGGCAAAAAGAAGTTGGAAAAACCAACTCCTAATTTTGCATTTTGAAATCAATCAGACTGCACTACTAAATCAGTACCGCATAACTGCCTCTATATAGGTTCATTAAACATAAGTAAGAGTGGGTTTTATTTCATGTTAAGAAGTTATCTCAAACTGGAAAAAAAATAATCTAGCAGAAACACAAAACTGAAATACCCTTCAATGTTGCTGCTAATAGAGAAATGCAACAGCACACTGGGTGCTGAAGCACTTAATGAAAACATTCAAATCTATGCACCACAATATTAAAGGAGTCCATCTATGAATGCAACAAAGGGGCATGCATTTGATTTCTACTACCAAAAATATAAGGGTAAAAAATAAATATTAATTCTGTGCTTTATTTATTGCATTCTTTATCAGAAGTTTTCATTGTACAGTAGTCCACTTCTAATATACCACATGGAAAAAAAGTTAAAATGAACACAAACTGATGAAAAATTGAAGTATTTGCCCCCTGAATTTGAGGAAATCCTGACATCTTCTGCAGAAACAAATTTAATTTAGTACATAAATTATTTTATTTAAAATTAAATGTGAAAATATAATTTCTTTTAAAGTTTTTCTCCTCAAAATTTCTACTTCCACCATTTTGTGACATATTTTCTCCCTTTCATCATTTCTTTTTCCTCACCAAGCAGTTGAGATTGACTTGCCACACATTTAACTTCTTCCAACTCCTGTTTTCATTTCTAGCAGGAATTTAATGTTAAAAATGCTCCAGTAACATTTTACACCTTCCCTAGATTAAGCGTTCATACATTTTTCTCTGTATTTTTTTCAACTTTATTAATCCTTATGGTTCTTGAACATCCATATGCAAGTTTAACAAAAAGCATTGCTAGTCATAGTCTCATACAGTCCTTCAAAATAAAGGGGAAAAAACCCAAACCAAAACAAACAAAATAAACCCCAAATCAGCCACCTAACAAAAGAAGTTCATGTTCTTTCATCTCATGACTTCATTAGATTCTTTGAGTATTTTCAGATGTAGGACAAACAGAAATTCAACGCAAATAGTTCACAGAAAGGTAACCATATGCGATTAGAGTCACCAGCTGCATTCTGAAGTCTGTACAGCATCCAGTCAGAGTCTGAATGACAACTGCTAGTTATGATATAAATTTTACAATATAAAATTGTGATATATAAATATAATATAATGATAATATAAACATGATATATAAATGATGAGTTATTTTTAAATCCATACCTCTCTAGAAGTAAAACACCAACAGTGCAACCTGATTCTACTCCAGATAGATTCCAGAGCATACCTGTGTTCAGAGCTAAATATTCAACTTCGAATTTGACTCTTAACAAGGATAAAAAAAACAATGAAAAATAGTAACTGACATACAATGGATTTAAATGTAACACATGTAACAGGCAAATCCCATTTTTAATTCTTATTACGTTTCATTCCTAATCTTCTGCCAGATCAATCTTAAACAAATTAAAAAAGCAAAGAGTAATTGAAGTGGGAGAGTTCAGTTGATTATCATTCCACCAAGGTTTGTTCTTCCTCATCCAATTCCATGCTCTCCAGGATTCCCTGAGATAAACCAATTCAAAAAATGGCTTCTGAGAAAAAGAAGTATTAACCCACAAGCAGTTGTCTATAAATCCATTCCCAAAATGAATGAGAATTTTTGAATGTCTGTTTCTATCAGTATTATATATGAAACACAACATGGTAATTTAGAGATGTATACAAGGAAAAACATACTTATAACATAGTCTATTCAAATGTGTTTTCATACCATATATGTGCTGTTGGAAAAGGACAAGGCTGTTTTGCAGGCAGTACAAAAAAAAAAATCAGCATTCTTTAAAGCATTTTTAAGAGGGTCAAGTAAAATGGACCTACTGAGAAGCAGACCAGAACAACGAGCAGCTGACTTCATCCTGCAGGTGGTAAATATGTGCTTACTTCTCTACTACTAGTCAGTGTTGTTCCTGAACTCTCACCTGACCCATAGACTAAGGAAGGGTCAAACAGCATAATCTATTATAAACACCATGTTCCCTATTGAACTCTTTGAACTTGTCTGGTGTGATTTATTTGGTATCTTCAGCAAAGTTTGCTATCTTAATCAAAACACCTGACAGAATTTTTCAGTACATGAACATGTGGTGGAAAAAAAGCTGTGGCTTTATGCAGCTCTACCACAACACTTTCCCTAGCAGCAATGGAACCATCTCTTACCAGCAACTTGCTGAGTAGGTCACAGCATGGAGAAAACTGCTTTTATGATGTGCACCACCTCCTTTCCACTCATTCTGCTCCTTACAACTCCACTGCAGCACACTCCTTCTCTCATTCACTAAAACAAAGCTTTACTAGTATTTTCCTCAATATCTTATAATCCTTTGTATCCTTTTCTGTGTTCCTTCTGTTGCACAGGTATAGTGCAAGAAAGCACTGCCATTAGCTGCACTTTTGCATCAACAGGGGAGCCATATTATGATACATATGGTTTTCCACAATAGGCTTTCCATCTCTGAAACAGGGAATACAGAAGCTCCTTGCCCTGCAAAGGGGAAATATTTAGAGGCATTTTTTTTGCAAAAACATGCCTCTAATTTGTAAATGAGACACCATTTTGTCAAAATAGAAAACCTGTAGCTCCATAATAAATCCAGCATCAATATCAAGTATAGCATGTATTGTAGTAATGCATCTGCTACACTTAGAAATTTACTGTCAATTTTACTCTACTGAGCTCTCAGGAAAACTACAGTAAATACTGACAATATAATCTGACAGTCTTGCCATAGCTAGTGATTCTCTGCACCAGGACAGATCAGATTTTCTATAAAAACCATAACACAGTGTAATACAGCAACACTGCCTAATAAACGTAGTTTCTGTTTTTTCTTCTCAGCAGCTCTACTTCGAAACAGTAGCAGCACAACCTTCTAGGTCAGAAAACAGAAAATCCAAAGTATCTTTCTATCCTCTAGTCTCTTTACCAATTTCAAATCAAAACCAATGTCCCGCTAAATAAGCTTTCCTCTTATCTTCATTAAAGAGCACAATCTTGATGGAAGCAGATTTTTTTTTTCTCTACCCTTTCCTCTTCAGCAAGGCTTATACAAGGTCCTCAAAGTGACTTAGCCTCTGGAAGAGCGCATGATGATCTGAGATCTGCAGGAATCAATACCTACTAGGATCTATGCCTGACACAGCAGTACTTCATTACATTCGTATACATCAGTGCTGCCACATCAGGTGTAGTAAATAAAGAACAGCTGTTGCTGTGATCAACTCTTCTGACAAGCTCCTTCTAAAGTGCTGTCAGCAGATTCATAAGGCCAGAATCTAATCTCACAGGGCACTGCCTGCTTCTTTCTGCTACTTGGTCTTTAAAGCATAGCTATTTTCTTGATTTTCAGGAAATCTGCCTGTATTCAAGTAAGAAGCCATGATATGTGAAAAACTTCCTCATCAAACGGCCTTACAAAGGGAACAAAATCCAATATCTCAGAACTGTACTGACTTTAGAGCTAAAAAAAAAAAAAATTAAAAAAAAATTGGGTCACTACAATGACCAACCAATACACCAGAACCAGTAAAGAATCTCTGATACAGTGAAAGTAGGTTCCATTGGCTAAAGAAACCATTTTCAGCTCAGATAAAAAGCTATTCTGCTTTAACTCTCACTGCTGCATGATAACTATTCTGAAAAAAAAAACCTCCCAACTAGATACTAGCTGAGGAGAGCATGAATGAGATCATAAACATGACCTCCCTCTCCTTTCTAGGTTTGACCACTGACCTCTGCTCAATATTCAAGAAAGCATGCATTTCAAACTAGGTTACTGGGCAGAGAACAAGTGACATCACATTTCTTTACTTACTGTTCATTTTTCTGACTAATGCAAGTGGAGGTACCATCTCTGTATAAACACAACTAAGAATATGAAGGCTGAGTAATAAAGACCCAGAAGCTTTAGCCAACTTCAGGAATGGCTACTCACGTGAATTACTGAAAAGGTAATGCATAGATTTACAGCACACCTCTATAAATACCTAATATATTCTTTTCTGCAGAGTTCAGTAGGAAAAAGTTATGTTTAAAAACTATTTCCTCAAAATGGAGTAAGCTACTTCACAGAAACACATTTTCAAATGGTAGAAAAAGCATTCCTACTGGGAATTCATACAAAAGTACTAATGAGCTATAAAGGTACACTATAATTTAGAGCTTATTAACTTACTCAGTCAAAAAAGCCCACAGGTATCAGCCATAGTCATCATCCTACCTACCTCAGGTAGCATTCTATCAATAAACCAAAATCAGCAATTTTCAACTGTTTGCATATTTTTCTTCCCATCTTTCTCACTGAGATCAGCTCCATAAAAAGATTTCTTTCCCTTAACTATATGAGAAAACTAACTTGAAGATGTCAAACAGAAAGGCAAAAAGACATATGATAATTCATTGATGCAGTTCAAAGGTGCTACATAAAACAGGTTTTATCACTGAAGGCTGATCCCTTTTCCACTGTAGAACTTGAGTCACTTTCTTTTTTTGAAGAAAAAAAAAATTGTGTTAGTGTTCCCTTGAACCTGCTTTGTTTGCTTCATATATAAATCCTATTCACTGGACAAACTTTTTTGCAAAGAGTTTATAAAATTCATATAATCTCAACACTGCTGGCACATTCATCTGAACCCCTTATTATCAAAATTATCCTCATGTCCCTCATTACCCAAGAATAATCAAGCTTACTTGTACTGAAAATAAAGTATTTAGATGGTAATAATAACTATATAAATTTGTCCTAATTTAATAAAAGTATTTTATTACAAAGAAAAATATAATCAGGTGACAGTATAAAAGTTAAGAAAAATTTATCAGTGTTAATTAATGCTTGAAGGTAGAATTATGTTTCTTTCAATTGGACCCATTAAAGGGGCTTTAATATAGATTTGCACAGCAAGCTGAAGATTTTCAAGTGCAGATAATGAGGCAAGCTAGTACTATTTTAACCCCTCTAGAGTATAATCAGTTGATAAGGTTTTGAAACGTTACAAGGTCTAGGACAAAAAGATTAGCTTTAGTTTTCCAGATCAAAATTGAAACCTAATTAATTAACAATGTTATAAGAAAAGGTTTACTGCTATTTTTACATGTCTTTAATGTCATCTTCTAAAGAAAACAGGTTAAGATATTTTAATTTATCCATTGTGTGAATGGCAGAGGACTGTTCCCTGCTCTGACACTATCTGCTAAACTAATTGTTTGAATTTAAAAATTTCACACATTCCTCAAAAACCTCACCTTATTTTTTGAGGAAAAAACAGCATCAGTGATCTACTTAAGATACACACAATTATTATAAATTAAATACAACAGGTCAAAAATGTTTCCAAATAAAAAAGACAATGAAAAGATTTCTGCAGCAATGTATTTATCAGACTTCAGAAGAAGTAAAATTCTAAGAGAGTGTCCTAGTCACTTAAACATAGCAGTTAGAAATTATTTTTCTTGAAACAGAGAAGTGATGCATACCATGTCAGGGATACATAACTGCTGAGAAAAGAGTTTTGAGCCACTGCATAAAACAAAAACAACAGCAAAAAAATCAGTATAGCAGCCTAGACACTAATCTCAAAGGTTTAAGATTTTTACCACACCACTTTTAAAATAAATATATCTATATGCCAGATGAGGCCCAGTAGTGACTATCAGGACCAAAAGTTACCAATAAACCAATTAAAAAACAAAAAAACTTAAGTGAAAAGTACAATGGAAAACACAAATATACTATTTTCTGTGCTGAATTTATGGGCAATAATAGACAAGGATAATCATATGTGCTTTAACAAATTTATGTGAGTTTTTGAACAGTACACCTTGAAATGCTCCCCACTAACTCATATTTAAAATGTTTAACACAATATGGAGTTATGCAATAAACTCATGACAAGAAAAAGGTCTTGTTCATGAATATAAAACTGAAGATTACAACACCATATTTTAGGAGAGGTGAAAAACTGAAGTTGTATTGAGTAATGGAAGTTCAGTGCATATACTGATACTGCCAAAGATACTGGACAGCAAAAGTTTTGAAAAATTATGATTTACACTTTTATTCCTAAAGCCTCTTGAGTAACTGAGCACATTTCTTCACTGCTAGATTATAAAAATGTGATTAAAGACCATATTACTTCTCAATCATAGTTTCCAAATTTATTATTTTACTTGATTTTCAGTAGTACCCATTAAAATAGAAACCTCTCTAATACTTGAAATATCTCATTACAAATTAAGCTCATTTAGCTTTCAGTATGAGCTAACTATGTGAATGTATCTCATCCAGGCTGTGGAGAATATGCTCTCATATCTATAGAAATTTTAGAAGTCCTGTTAGGTATGTCAGGATAAAGTCTACGCACAATACAAGACAATAAATGTGATCTCATGTTCTCCTTATACAGCTTTCTAGTTATTTCTAGACACAATAGAAGCTTACATTTATGTCAAATTATGAAAAAGCTCATTGATTTTTCTTTTTTCCCTTACTCAGCATTAATTTACACAATCAGCTTTTTGGTGGCTACTCAGAAATTCCTAGACAATAAACCCTACAACAAATTATCTTGTTGCAACTGTTACCTCTGTATGATGCATGAAGGGGAAGAAAAAAAACAACAGATGACATTACTGGCTAATCTCAACTTCCTAGATGTAAAAAATTTGTAGACTGAAATACACAGCCTTCAAGTCTTTCTGTCTGTACTTTACAGAAAAGAACACTCATTACCATTACTGTCAAAATGCACATTTTCACAAGCAATCTATTTGCATGTTAATTACACAAATAGTATCTTTTCCTTAGATGAACAAAGACGGAGCACATTCAGAAAAACGAAATAAATAGGAACACTACATTGTTTTTTAAGCCAGCTCCATTCTTTGATACCAAATCACCTAAACCTTGGACTCAGGAAACAATCCCTCTCTTGCTTCAACCCTACAGCATTCCAGCCAAGGGATGAGGCAAGAAGGTCAGAATGACATCACCTCTGTACACTGTTTTCGCACACAGCACTGGCACCATCTGGTGCCCTTCACAACCTGTCCCCCCAGCTCAATGATACTCTAAGGGAAGCTAATTGTAAGGGCTGCATTAGAGTTGTCAGGATCATCAAAACAACTTCTGTTCTCCTCATCTGTTAGAATCACTGAATCACAGAATATCCTGGTTTGGAAGCAACCCCCAAAGATCATTAAGCCCCACTCCTGGCTGTGCACAGAACAACCTCTAGAATCACACCATGTGTGAATCACACAATGCCTGAGAGTGTTGTCCAAACGCTTCTTGAACTCTGGCAAGTTTAGTGCAATGGCCACTTCCCAGTGCCCAACCACTCTTGGGGTAAAGAAACCTTCCCTAATATCCAACCCAAACCTACCCTGACATCTCCAAGCCAATCCCTTGGAACCTGTCACTGGTCATCAGAGGGAAGAGATCAATGTCTGCCCCTCCTCTTCCCCTTATAAGGCAGTCATAAACCACAATGAGATTGCAGATGGTCCCTCAGTCTCCTCCTCACAAGCTGAACAAGCCAAGTGACCTCCGTCACCTGTGTCCTCCTCTCAAGGGGGCTTCCCCTCAAGGCCCTTCATCTTCATTGTAATGGTACCAAAACCAGCCCCCAGCACTGGAGCTGAGGCTGCCCCAGCCCAGAGCAGAGCAGGACAATCCCCTCCCTTGCCCCGCTGGTGATGCTGGGCCTGATGTCCCCCAGGACAGGGTTGTCCCTCCTGGCTGCCAGGGCACTGCTGGCTCATGTTCAGCTTTCTGTGAACAAGGATCCCTGTATTTTCTGTGGGGCTACTCTCCAACCTCTCATTTCCAAGTTTGTATGTATATCCAGAGTTTTATCATCCTGTTGACAAACTCTTCTTTCCCGGCTGCCAGTTTTCCATGGTTCTAGTTCCAATTTACCAGCTTCTCTCTATTTCCACATGGATGATGTAAACACATTACACCATCAATTTTAGATTTCTGATCAATTACAGTTTCAGCTTCTGAAACTGATCCGAAAGCAGCCTCATGGAGATGCACATTCCAAGTTCAGATGCTGCCACAGCAGGCAGCCTTCTTAAAAACACAGTACATGCATATTCCAATATGCATGCATATTCCTATAAAGGTTTTCACAGTATTTTGCCTTTCACATAAGGACAGGATAGACAGGAGATAAATGCAGGAATCACACATTGTTGGCTTCTAAATATGATCTGTGTGTATGCTCCAAACACATTACACACCACACCTACAGTCATGAGGATGAGATACCACACTGAAACTTCAGCCACTGTTGTAATACAAAATAAAAGTTTATTTAATAAGTAACAGTATTCTAATTTGATTTATTTATATTTTATTTACTGTATTATTTTATATTTACATATTTCATAGATCTACATATTATATGCAATATAACATTATATTATATCATATATATTAAATATTGGATATAATTCTATAAAATATAAAGTATATAATATAGATTATACACGGGATACAGACAATATTTTATATATACATCATACAGTCTCTATAATAAGCAATTATATAATAAAATATAATGTATCTATTGTACTTCATATAATATATAACATATGTATGTTTTCTATGTATTTGTTTAACTATGAACTAATTCAGAAATAAATAAAAGGAGAAACACCACCAATACTGTGGTGTGTTTTTTTAGGCAGAAGGTGCAGCAGGTTAATTATTTTGTGCTTGTCAGGATGGCAAATCTTACCAAGATGTGCATGGGCACATTACAAACTTGAACATATTCAGAGCTCTTCTAGACTTAAATCCAAGTTTAGGTTAGACCATAGGGTAAGATGAGGCAATGAACTGACAAGATTTTTCAGAAAAAGTTTAATCTAAAATAATATAAACTTTTTGGGTAACAGATCAACTGTCTGAACAACACAGAAGAGCTTAAATAATACTTCATCATTAGAAATTTGTCATCTCTAAATCATCTACAACTTTTTTCTGAAGACACAATAGCAAATCATTTTCTCAATTTAGCAAACATAAATATGTTGTCAATGACAAGTTTTTTTAACTGCTCTATTAAAACATAATATGAACATGTTCTAGAGATTTTATTTTGCTGTCTTTGGCTTGCAAAATCTCTAAAATGCTTCTGTCCTTGACTTCAGCTTTCTGTTTTTCTCTGGAAACAAACAAAAAAATAGACACTTTATTAGTCATAATTTGCAGTTAATCATTTGAATTTTTCATGTCCTGATAATGAATGTCATTTTAAAGCGCAGAAAATTAAATTATCTGAAGCTGACAGGCCCTGCAGAATTAATCAGGGAGCATATGGCAAGTGACAGCAAATTACATCTGTAAACATCTAATGCAGCTTTGTTCAAAAAGAAACAGAAATAAGAGATCTTAATATTTTTAAAGCAGCTGAAATTATCTGTCTCTCATTCTTTCCCACGCATAAAGTGTTCTTGAACACAGAATGAGCAAAATGCTTTTGTCCCTTCTTTATATAGAATCACCAAGCTACTTGAGTTTGTGAAGTCCTTATCTCTATTACATGGCATTTTTCTGTCTGAAACAATGCTTTTGAATATCGGGGATAATTATTTTACTATACTCCACAGGGATAGAATGTGCAACTTTTACCTGCAGGAAAAAAAAACCAAAAAGACAGCTCAGAAAGTTTAGTAAGGGGGATGAACAAAGCCACTCTATGTTTTTAATAAATGCACATCTATTATCATCCCTGTGACACTTTGCTTTGTTTAACAAAGTACCTTATCTCACTGCTTTCTTATTTCTTAACTGAGTTCAAATACTGATGCCCTTGCTGGTTTCCATTTTAGGGAGAACAAATGTTGCAAGAGTAAGGATATTCACATTCCTAAGTGTAAGTCACAGCTCTTATCACATATGTGTGACTAAAGGGCTGAAAAATATATATTCCCTAAAAATGTCCAAACATTTCAGGCAATCCCAGCACCACAGGTGACAGAAGCAGAAGCTCATTCAGATTATCCCTGTTCTCACAATACAGTTAAAACTTTCATCATGGGTGGTATCAGCCACCTATGGAAGCTAGAGAATCCTACTAGAGCAACTACCAAATAAGGAATGTTTCAGAGCTGGAAGGGAATGAAATACTAGTACACATGCGTCTGTAAATCTGATCTAAAGTGGATGAAAATATCCAGCTGTATGCCAAAGGCTTGATATGCTGTAGCATTTTGTAACAGTGACCAATAAACATAGTAGATACATGGAGGATTATTTTTCTCCACTATTAAGTATTACTGTGTAGTCTAATGTAGAGGCCAGTGGGCTGATTAACAAAGAATCCACAACTCTCCCTTGAAGGGAAAGCTCCTAGACAAGTTCCTTCACTGTTGGGACAACGAAAGGAGTTTTGCAAATTTTATGTACTCCACGCAATTCTATGTACCCCACTGGTCCTTCCCCATTGCTCTGTCCCGAACCCTCAGCTGACTAGTCGTGATGTCCCTATATAAACCCCTGTTTCCCTTTGACTATCCAGTCTTTCATCCCTGACCCCTTCACGGTAGCTGGCATTCTCCTTGTCCCTGGACCAAGAACAAAGGCTCCTTGTGGAACACCACACGAGGCTCCTGTCCCTCCTTCCGTGTCACCCAAAGAGCTGCAATCACCCAACAGCCCTTTTCAAGGCTGAGAGCTGAGATTGCTCTCAGCAGGGTAGGGAGTGTCTGTGCCCTCGAGAGTGTCCTTCAAGAACATTTCTCAGGGAAGGTCATGGCACTCAGACTGCCGAGACCGTGACAGCTGGCAACCGAACAGGGACCTCTGTCAGAAGTTTCCCTGAGAAGCATCTCCTGCAGCTGAAAGCAGCAGGACACAAGCCGCTTTTGGGTTAGCAAGCTCCCCGAGGAGAATCCTTCCTATTCTACGGAAAGCTATCCAAGGGATGACCAGGACTCTCGCTGAGGCCTTCTGGGGAGGATAGGAAAGAGATCCCCTGAGGACCAGTTGACAGACCACCAATCCTACAGATTTCTGTTGACCCAGAGGGCTTCAGGCTGCCTGAAGAAAAATTGTGAGTTGTTATACTGGGGTATTTTCTGTTTTCCTTTTGCTGTTGGGTGTGGGAGTGAAGAACTGAGGATGGGAAACAAACTGAGCCATCCTAAGCTCAGCCCTCCTCAGAGGTATTTTTATTACCAAGTTGTGGGAACCCTTGCTGTGGCAGAATTTAAGTTTTCAAAGGGTAACTAAAGAGATTTGTTCATTGGGTTTTTAAATATTTTCCTAATGTTACACAGGATTCTGTTCTCTTGGGGGAGTTTTGAGGCAACGTTGGGACAAAGTTATATAACATTCAAGTGGGTGGTGATTTATCGGTGACAAAGTTCTTTTCTTCAGTTTATATTATTGTTAAGTCAGTTGAAAAATTCGGGGAATGTTCGGTAAAGGTTTGGTCCCCAGTTTCCCCTTTACCCTCTCCCCATGTTCCTAAACCAGCTTCACCACCTGAGGGGCAATCTTCAGGAAGTTGTGATATTGCATAGGATGGCTGCTGATCCCCTCATGCCTCCCAATCCCCTCTCTCCCTGCACCAGGACAGCACTGGTCAATCTGCACTAGATCCCCCCCCTCCCCTCCACCCTATGCCCACCTACCCACTCCCACCCTTTGCTACTGCTCCATAAAATGGGCTGGCAACATAGCCAGCCCCGCCATTTTGTCACCCCTATGTCCAAGTTTTCCCGCCTCCAACCCTCAAAATGGCCACCTCCCTGTCTCTTCACCGCCTTTCTCTGTGCTTCCCACTGCGTCTGGCTCCTCCCTTTTCCTCACATTGTCAGTGGGTGTAACCACATCAGGACTTCCCCCTATAGTCAGGAACTCCCTTTCCTCATGGACCCCACCCCTTCCATAAACCCATTCCACTATTGGCTTCTCCCCTGCTGCCCAACCACCTTCCGGTTCTCATTACCAGAACCAGAAATGTTAATGGCGGCAACTGGAAGGAAGCCATTCTGGCTTGCACGGCCTCATGCCATCTGGCAGATCTTGTCCGACCAAAAAGGCCCCGCACTCCACTAAAGCACCCTCCATCATCTTTGGGGGATGAGAGTAGTGAGTCCTCAGACTCGAACACCCAGTCTGAGGACCCCTGGGCCAAGACTCAAAGGGAAGCCACCGAGGAGGGAGACTGGGAACTGGTAAATAAGATCTCTCTGCCTTCCCACTTGTTCACAAATGCGGGAGAAGGCCTTCCTGGGACCCCATACCCTACAGCGAAGTGAAAGAACTAGTTAAGGCAGCAAAGGAACATGGCCAAGGATCCTACTTTTTCAAAAACTTGATCAAAGCCACCTTCTCCTCACACACATTGGTCCCTCACGACATCAAAAATATGATGAACTATCTCTTTTCCCCAGACGAATATATGCTGCGGGAATGGCAGTGGAAAAAAATAAAATCTAAAGTTCTTATCACACACTTATTCAAAAGATGCCAATAGACCCAGTTTGTCTATTGAGCAGTTAGCAGGAGAAGGTGACTTTCAAATACCAACTGATCAAGTGAATGCTATATCAGAAGCTGCACTACAGGAATAGCCACCACAGCCAAAACATCTTTGCTCCTCACCCCCGATGATAACGTACCAACACAGCACTTTATTAACATCAAGCAAGGGGTTGATGAAACATTTGTAAAACTCGTAGACCAATTAAAAGTGGTCCTGGAAAAACAACTAGAAGCCCTGAGAATCGGAAAGATTTGGAAAGAAGTTCTAAACAAAACTGCTCTCACAAATGCTAACATGTAATGCATGGCTTTACCCCTTGACAAGGAACCTACCATTGAACAAACGGTGAAGGCTTGCACCAAGAATTCCTCCACCAAAAATACTGCGGCAGAGGCAGCTGCCAAAGGCACAGTCACAGGGTGGCAGGATTTGCTGTGGTTTCCCAAAAAGACGAAGACTCATGTTTCTCCTGCAGTGAATTAGGACATTTTCTAAAAGACTGCTCAGAATGGATGGCCCCACAAGACAATTGTAAAAACTATCAGCAGCCCAAGGTACAATTGCCTTATTAGCAGCACTTGGGAAACTTCCAGCACAGGGTGGGATGGCCCCGTGCTACAACAACAAATGGAAAGCTGTCCCACCCCACTCTGCCCACCATTCCGGAACACAAGAAGAACACAACATCAGTTTTGGAGGTTCCTCCACATATGAAAAAGATCCCACAAACTCAAAGGTTCAGGTGGGAACCTAGCACCAGCTGGTCAGTGTGTCATCCATTGACTTTCCCAATAAAACTATTTATAAAATTTCAACAGGGAAACGTGTGCCACATGATGGCCCTTGAAACGTTATTGAGGACTCCATCAATGGACCAGAACAAATAAACATTTTACCAGAAATTGTAACTATAATTCCAGGGGATGAGATTTTTGTCTCCATCTCCTGTGTCAACCCACCATGGGTCAACCTATTGCCCAAGTGTTTTACTACCTCCAGAATATCTGGAACAAGTCCTTCTCAATCCCACCGCAATGTGGACATATATTGTGGGTGACAATAAACTCATGTTAGGGTGTGGCCTGTTCTGTCATGGGGAAAAGATCTCCCATCTAGGGATGACAGACACTGGGGCAGATGTCACAATCATTGCCCAGTCTGAATGGCCATTCACTCGAGAGTTGTGACCTGTGGCTGGTATGATCTCAGGGATCGGGGGTGTTGCGGTTTCTATGTGTAGTGTATGCAATGTTGTTGTTGAAGGTCCCAAGGGCAAAATGGCAACCATCTCGCCATTTGTGGTGAGGGCCCCTATCACATTGTGGGGCAGAGACTCGTTGTCCCAATGGGGGACTTCCATGCACTTTGCCTGTAGGGATTTTTAGTTGGAGCCACTGTAAATCATGCAAACATTACCATTCCTCAACTCACCTGGAACTAAGATCATCCAGTTGACCAGTGGCCCCTTCCCTATAAAAAATTGAGCACTTTGGAAGCCCTCGTGGAGGAGCAACTTGCCAAGGGTCACATCACTGATACCAACAACCCTTGGAATTTCCCTATCTTTGTCCTGAAAAAACCCAGCAAGGATAGGTGGAGGCTCCTCCATGACCTCTGCAAGATCACGAAGGCCATTGAGGACATGGGGTCTCTGCAACCTGGCTTGCTCACACCCACAATGCTGCCTTGGGACTGGAAGATGGCAGTAATTGACATCAAGGACTGATTCTTCAACATTTAACTTCATCCCTGAGATGCCCCCAGGTTCATCTTCTCTGACCCTTTCTCAAATAGACAAGTGCCTCTTAATAGGTACCAATGGCTGGTCCTTCCATGAGGAATGAAAAACTTTACAACTGTATGGAGAGTTTATATATTGGTATGCCATCCAAATCCTATTCCCAGTGAGAAGACTGTTCCCCTGAGGCACTTATCTACCGTTCTATGGATGACATCCTTGTCTGTGCATCGCAAAAGGCTTACCTAGATGATACACCAAGGAAGACCATTCAAACCATCAAAGAGGTAGGCTTTGAGACTGACAGGACAAGATCCCAGTACACCTGCCCCTGGACCTACCTCAGACTTTACATCTATGAGCAGATCACTGTACCCCAGCAGCTCTCCACCTGGGATGACCCGAAGGCCCTGCAGGATCTCCACCCACTCTACAGGTCCATCAACTGGGTGTGTCCCCTGCTGGGAGAGGTCCTTGTGCTGCTGTTCAACCTTCTGTGCAGCAGCAAGGACCTGGATTCACTACATGCCCTCACACCCAAAGCCCAAGTGTCCATTGCCACAGTTCAGGAGACTCTGTCCTTACGTCAAGCACATTGCTTTGAGCTGCACCTGCCCTTTCAGTTGGCAGTCCTAGGTAAAGCCCTACAGTTTCATGCTCCTATTTTTCAGTGGGACACCCAGATGAAAGATCCCCTAATCATTTTAGAATAAGCGTTTTCCCACAATCAACCTACAAAGACAATCACCGCCCCTCAAGAACTGATAGCTGACCTAATTAAAAGCGCTAGAGCTTGCCTCCGCTCTCTTGCAGGGTGTGAGGTCACATGCATTTTCCTACCACTGACTACTGGGGATCTGAAGCATTTGCTCCAGACCAATAAGAGCCTCAAGTTCACTCTCAATAGCTACCCAGGCCAAATTTAGATCCATTTGCCAAGCCATAAATTGTTTAATTCGGCTTTCAATCTGGTCCCCAAATTAATGCAAAGTAGGAAACCTCTCAAAGCACTGACAATTTTTACCAATGGCTCGGGGGCATCCCACAAGGCAGTGATGACTTAGAGGGATCCCAGGACACAGAAGTGGGAGTCTGATGGCCAAGTGGTGGAAGCATCCCCACAAACTGCTGAGTTAGCAGCCATCATAAGAGCTTTTGAGAAATTCCAGGAACCGTTCAATCTAGTGACAGATTCGGCCTATGTCGCTGATTAGCTTTGAGAACAGAACATTCTCTTCTAAAAGAGGTCTCCAATCCAAATTTATACTACTTGCTTTCTAAACTAATCTATCTTATCCCTCACAGAAAGCAACCATTTCATATTATGCATTGAGGTCACACATGGACCTCCCAGGTGCCATTGCGGAGGGTAACAGAAGAGCAGACAACCTAGCCATGCTTTCTGAGATTACCAACCTACATGGCAAAACCCATGAATTTTACCACCAGAATGTACTGGTGTTAATAGTAATGTCCAAAGAGCGAGTATGATTGTTGTGACTTGCCCCAACTGTCAAAACTATCAGATACCAAAACCTGGGTTTTGGGGTCAACCCACAGAGCTTAAACAGCTGCCAACTTTGGCAGACTGATGTGACACACTTCCCATCTTTTGGGAGGTTAAAATATGTGCCAGTTGAAAGATTCTCAGGTGCAGTGTTTGCTTCAGCCCACACAGGAGTTCTTGCAAATGGCCCTGCTTACACCTTGCAAAAACTAAAAGACTTCTTCAAACGTTGCGGGGTGAAGCACACCACAGGACAATCAATTGTAGAATGGACACATGGTACCATCTAGTGGGTCCTCGATCAGCAGTTTTGGGAGGGGGGGCACAGAAGTCATGTCTCCCATTGACTCTATAAGGCTCTCTGTTACTAACTTTCCAAATTGTTCTTTTTCAGAACAATTCCCCGTATTCCAGCACTTCTCAAGCTCAGCCCAAGCTAAGCTCAAGAAGCCGCCAATGCTGATCAAAAATCCTGAAACCCGACAAATATCTGGTCCTTTCAAATTGATTACCTGGAAGAGGGGTTATGCTTTTGTGTCTTCCCCATCCGGCCCCAAATGGATCCCAGGGAAAAACATAAAGCCATACCTAGGCCCTGGAAACGCTGCTCCCTCTGACAGTAACAGTCTCTGAGTTAGCCACTGACCAATAAAGATCAAACCAGTTCTGCCTGGAGACGAAGACATTGCTGCTGACCACTACACATATCCAACCATCTTGTCACCAAGTCTCAAACAAGACACATGCCTGAACTAGACATTGCCACAGGCCAGAAATGATCTGACAATTGCTGCTACCCCGTTACTTCCCACAAACCTGTTCAACCCCTGATACGTTCCCAAACCCCACTTATACCCCTACACTTTTGTTGCAGTCCGCAACCTCAGGATCTCATCCAGGAAGCTGCAGAGTTCTGGGGACCAACATGGAACACCAACGAGACGGGCTCCCGGTTCATGAAACCATTTATTCAGCATAGGAACCAACTCAGATCCAGAACAGAGAGCCCCGAACAAAGGCCGAGCAGGGGTTTTTGAGGGACAGAACTCTTAACGGTCTCCACCCTTGAGGGTGAAGTTCAGGGTCAGGGACCATTAGAAACACAAGGGAAAAAACACCCCAGGGACTCAAACGCAATCAGAACACCTGGGCTGTCTTTCAAAAGGGGTTTGAGGTGGGACAATGTAATTCTTTGTCTTCCCCCTGAGCCATGTTGCAACATCTGCTCCCTTTTTTTTTTTAAAAAAAAAAATTTGAATTAGGACCTTAAACTGTTTCCAAAACTTACACCATAAAATCTCACCTCTTCCACAGAGCACTCACTTTGCTTTGTGGGACACTAAAAACTCAATAACAAAGCACAATAAGTAAACAGAAAAAACACAATTAAAAACAAACAGATTAAACAGTGATGGTACTCAATACAAATATAATGTTTTTTAGTTCAGTCTTTTCCAGTTTAGGATTTTCTTTCAGGAAGGGTGCAGCTCTTAGATCTCCTCTCACAAGGGGTAGCATTCTTGGATCTCCAGCTTCGGCTCTGGTTCCCATGTGGTCGCCACTTTAGATGTTCTTGGTGAAACCCTGGCTTTGGGAGATCAGGTTACAGTTTCGATCTCCCCAGAGGAGGTGTTGCCCAGGATGGAAAAGGCAGAGCCCCCAGGGGTGGAGCAGCCGAACAAAGGGGTGGGAGCGAAGCAGGAGTTACTGAGGGAAGGGAAGGTTCAGGACCGGAAAAGAAGTAGCAAGGCGGAAACAAGGGATCCCAGACCACGTGGCTGGCGCCATCTTGGGATGGGGGGGGTGGTCCGGGATGGACTTTCCCGGACAGGGAACCAGGAATGTGGAAGGCAGGGGGTGAAGGCGGACACGGAATGGCAGGCAGACAGCAGCAGACCCGCATCACTCTGGATGTTCTCTGTCCCTTGCCTGCCTTCAGGAAAACAGGGATGGCAGAAAGATACAAGGGTATCTTTTTTTGCCAACAGGAAGACGGCAGCAACCCGGAGCCATCTTGGCATTTTTTCACCCTTTGTCCTGCCCTTAGGAGCAAAGGAGAGGGGAAGATACAGAGAGGTATACACTAAAAAAATGAGGAACTTCACAGAAAACAAAAAACAGTTCACAGGAAGGGCCATACCTTAAGGTCCATAATCATCCATAATGTTAATATAATCATCCATAATGTTAATATCGTCCATAAAGGTCCTTCCCATGTGTATAAAAAAAAAACCAAAACCATCCATAATATGTCTCAATGGGTGATGTTAAATGTTTGTCCCAGTATTTGGTCTTGCGGCTCCCCCCACCTCCGTAAGCCCTTTTCTTCCCCTATGCCCAAGGCACTCTCAACTTGGCCCTCCTGCCAGGTCTCTCGAGTCCTCCTTTCTAGGGCGAGGGTCTTGCCGGCTCTCAAGCCATCAGCCAGGGACTCACAGCGTCCATGGAGCCGGTCCTGCTGTTCTGGTGCTTCACCGGATGCCCGCATTCTCCACCATTTGTTGCAGTCCACAACCTCAGGATCTTGTCCAGGAAGATGCAGGGTTCTGGGGACCAGGATGGAACACCAACGAGACAGGCTCCCGGTTCATGAAACCATTTATTCAGCATGGGAACCAACTCAGATCCAGAACAGAGAGCCCTGAACAAAGGCCGAGCAGGGGTTTTTGAGAGACAGAACTCTTAAGGGTCTCCACCTTTGAGGGTGGAGTTCAGGGACCATTAGAAACATAACAAGGGAGAACCTCCCCAGGGACTCAAACCCAATCAGAACACCTGGGCCATCTTTCACAAGGGGTTTGGGGTGGGACAATGTAACTCTTTGTCTTCCCCAAGCCATGTTGTAACACTACACTGCATACCTACCTTCACACTACAGTTCCTCTATCTCTCCCGTCCCAACCCTAACCCAACCTCCTCACACCCACTACCTTTCAGAATTTCTTTAAATAATAAATAAAGGAGAATGGAAGGGGAAGAGGGTGAAGTGAAAAGAACGATCTCTCTCCCTGCCCTAATGACTTAACAAATTCTGTTTCATTCCCTGACAGAAGCACCTCCCTCAGAAATACCTACCCTCAGTGTGAACATGATCTACCTTGATGTAATCATTATCACCGCATGGATGCTCCCGAGATCACAGCATGCCTTCGGCTGGGTAGTCCCACAACTCAGTCATAACGTATGGATCACCCTAGTGAAGTCCCTCCAACAAGAAAACATCCATGGGCTTGGTCGACAACCCACTGTCATCATGCCTGGTCAGGATTCCTTCTAAGCCCAGTGAAAGCCTCCCCATGTGGAGGTGGTCCAGCACGGAGAACACCTGGGACTGGTGGACAGAGGCTTCACTGCGCGCACCCAAAGAACTGCAAGAATTGGATCTACTACGGTGATCTAAGGCCAGCTATTGTCTTCAGTTTTATTTCTGGAACCCATCCATTAATTTTATAAGAGATGTAACCCCATATAAAAAGATTTACAATTTGGCCAATTGGTGCAACTACATTATCAAAATGCCATTTGATGTGTCTAGCTCCTTCTATCCCAGAGTGCTTCCCTGGGGAGTGCTCCTCCTCTGTGGAGACTGGGCTTGGGCAGGGATCCCCTCTCACCTTAGAGGAGGTCCTTGTACTCTTGGCCAGCTTACTGCCCTCACCCCAAACATAACATTGCTACAGGATTGAAAATAGAAAAAATAGATTGGCACACCAAAAATGATCTATACCAAATTCAATGAAAATTGTGATCCCAAAATCATTACTCCAAAGTCAAAAGAATTGCAGCATCCTTCCATAGGTAGCCGTTGCAAAAAGCCTTGGTGAGCTATCTCACCTGGGGTGCTGGCTCAATAAGCAGGTCAACACAACATCAAAAATCCTCAGTGATCTTCAAGACACGACCAGGCATGCCATTCTGCAAAACCAAGCAGCCATTGATTTCTTCCTCTTAGCCCATAGACATAGGTGCCAGGACTTCGAAGGTGTCTGTTGTTGCAACCTTTCCTCACATTCTCAGTACGTCTCCAGGAGCATCCAACTGCTGAAAGAAGACATCAAACAACTCAAGGTCGAAAAAGAAAGAATGGTTTCAAGATTTCTTTGAACATTTGGGGCTCAAGGGATGGGTCACTTCTCTTTTAAACAACATTCTCTGGGTTCTTTAGTGGTTTTTATTGTTTTACACATGTTTTTGTGTCTTTTACATTGCTTTAAAAAGGCTGCAAGTGAAGCATTTATAATAAGTAAAGAAGAGGGAGATGTGAAGGCCAGTGGGCCAATTAACAAAGAATCCACAACTCTCCCTTGAAGGGAAAGCTCCTATACAAGTTTCTTCATTGCTGGGGCAACAAACGGAGTCACCCCCAGCCTTCCTTGCAGACCCTGAAAGTTTTATGTAACCCCTGCAATTTTATGTACCCTCATTGGTGCCATCACCTCTGCTCTGACCCTGAACCCTCAGCTGACTAGTCGTGATGTCCCTATATAAACCCTCATTTCCCTCTGACTATCCAGTCTTTCATCCCTGACCCCTTCACTGTAGCTGGCATTCTCCTTGTCCCTGGACCAAGAACAAAGGCTCCTTGTGGAACACCACACGAGGCTCCTGTCCCTCCTTCCATGTTGCCCAAAGAGCTGCAATCACCCAACAGCCCTTTTCAAGGCTGAGAGCTGAGATTGCTCTCAGCAGGGTAGGGAGTGTCTGTCCTCAGGAGTGTCCTTCAAGGACATTTCTCAGGGAAGGTCATGGCACCCAGACTGCCCAGGCCATGACAGTCAAATACTACGAAAAATTTTAAAAGCTAAACTACACTGCCATAATAGGCCATACAATAAGGTGGTGGTTTTTAATGAAGTTCTATGACTGCTAAAATATCTAATCCAATCTTGAGTAAACAAATAACTAAAGAAAGATGGTATGGAATTTGAGGTGAGGGTTTTGGAAACTCGGATCTCAAGACATTGTAGCTCTAAATAGCTCTCTTCTATTTTAAATATAGCAGCAATGATATGTTGTAGGACTTTAAGAAAACTAAGAAGAACCTACCTGAAAAGGTATGCATTTAAGCTACATTTAGCTTAGGAAAAATAAAAATATATGGGAAGCAGTCTTAGTCAGTTGTATCACATTAAAAATAACCTACTTCACAAAGAAAATAACTCAGTGCTGTGAAGTCAGGTGATGAATATTCAACCAGCATTCCAAAAGATATTTCACACCGGAAATCTATTTAACATTTTAAGTGAGACAGAAACTTAACTGAAAAATGAACATCAGATACCGACCTTAAAGCATCTGATCACCTGCAATCAGAACCATCAAGATATAGCATCATAGGTTGCTAGAAAGTCATAAGCAGCAAAATAAATAGTAAAGACAGTTTTTCATAGTTCATATTTGAAAACCTACAGGAATGGAGTTAAGTAGACTGCGATTACAGAAATTCATCCAAATATGAAATGATTTGATGCATTCCAAAAGTTGTGCTGCAATGTCCTTAAAAAACAAACGAAAAAAAGGAGCACCAGAGGCAAAACAACAAACAGGTTTCAAAATATGACAGGTTATCAAACTGATTTACTCGGTTTATAACATTTATCTATCTAATAGAAGTCATATTCTCAGCTGTATGTTAAAAAATGGTGAGACTTTCTGGTAAATATATAAAACTTTGTACTAGGAGATATTAGAAACCTTAAAGAATAGGAGTTAGTAAGCAAAAATGTAAAAATTGCTGAATAGTTCATTTGTATACTTAACCCAAAAGTTTGTGCATGTTTCTGAAGGAGACATACTGTTCACGATAGGCAAAATTTAAATGAAACAAAAACTGTTCCAATATAGAAATAGTAATGCTTCTTCATACTTAATTACTTTGCTGTGGAATCCTAAATGGCTATCAACAATTACTCCTTCTCAAAGAAAATACTTGCAGTAATCAAATCCCAAATATCTGGGGAGGAAGGTTATCACTCTACCATAAGAATGCTACACCATGATCTATAATAGAGGACCTTCATTGATCTAAACTGCAAGAAATGTAACATTCAAAGTTTCCTCAGGTCTTGATTACATCTAGAATACTTAAGAATTTAAGATTAGACATACAAACACAACTATCTGATCCAAAATCCTAAGAGCTTTAAAAGACAAAAGGGGAAAGTAGGTCTTTACCACAAAGAAGAGTCAGGTGCAGGCACAGAATCATAGCATTAACCACACACAGGCCCCATGAAGAACTGAATAGCACTGCCTCCAGCCCTCAGAAGTACCTTGACCCTGTCTACCACCCACAATATGCCATCATCTTCCTAACTCTAACCACCATCTCCTCTCTCAAAGTCAACCTTTCAGAAAGCAAGACCCAAACAGAACTAAAATTGTATAATTAGATAGCCTCTTAATTCAACTATGCAATCATCATATGAAAATTATTAAACTTGTTTTCTAATGCATCAATTGATCTGAAAACTTCTTCTGAAAACTAACTTGGTAAGTTAGACAAGTTTCCCTAAGGAACTTTACAGTTGTGGATGGTTAATTTTTTAAAATTTATTTTAGAAAGAAAACAGAGAAAGTAAGTAAATGAACCAATAGCCAAGTAAAAGAATAAACAGTTCTGAAAAACAGTATGCACAGCTAATTCTGATTTATTATAGGTAGTTACGAATCCATCGAATGCTCTGACTTTAGGACATAGTTTCAAAATATGGGTTCACAGAATGAAGTCTGGGATTGGAGAGGAAAAAAAAAAGAAACAGATCACTGTTAAAGCAAAAAATATGCCTGTAACAGAGCTACACACTAGCCAACAGTTTACAGCACATTTCTAGTTAAATGCATAATTTTCAACCTATCCAATGCTTGGTAAAACACTCCTTAAAGCAAAAATGTCAAAGAACATAGTTTATAAACACAGATCTATTATCATCATGAGTGGGCAAAGTTTAAATAACTTTAATATTTTATAATTTATAAAATTATAATATATATATAGATAATTCATTATAATTATTTATACTTTATATAATTTAAATAACTTATATTATAATTTAATATGTTTTGCCTTTGTGATGTTTTCTTTCAAGCTTTCTAGATACCACATGCTTGCTAATGCCCCCATAAACAGTTTCACATGTAACCACCCACAGCTAAAGAAAAATGTTCTAATTATTAGAAGTTAGGTACACAATTAGAAGTTAGGTACACAAAGCCTAAAGTATAAACTGACACCTCACATGCAACTTTATCAGCAGTTTCTCCTGATGGCATAGGATACTTTCCCATGCTTCTTACAGGATAACCCCCCACAGACATTCAAGGCAGTGTATCTGACTGGCACTTACATATCATAATTGGATCTGCTGTCACACCTTATAATGGAACTTGATAGGAATTGCAGTAATCAACTCTTCTGTTTTAAAAGGATAACAAATACAGAGAAAAAAATAGTCTTCAAACAACTTCATTCATTAAGCTATTTTGTATTTAAAATGTATTTTTAAAAGTCCATTGGAATATGGGGGGGAAAAAATTCAGGCACTGTCAAGAAGCTGATGATGATCAATGACTGAGACAAACTCCTGTTTAGCTAATTAGAATCACTGATGAGCAATAATGATGTGAGCTAAGAATATTTGCAGACTTCTTTAGGATGAAAAATGGAGTGAAGAGAGGCTGTCAATTTGTACAAGTTCTAAGCTCCAATCAGTTTTCCCGTGAGTACTACCTATTTTAAATGTTTAACACAGATGCATTTAGCTACAAAGATTATCAAGATTCAGCTTCCCACAAAAATGAAGAAACTGAGAAAATATTCCTAAGCTTGATACATTTCCTCTGTTATGATTTTTTCCTGCATTACGCTCTACTCAATTATATAACAGGACAACATACTTGATGTTTGGCACCATTTTAATGGTGTGCCAAAAATGAACCATTAGATTTTGAGGAAACATTCGTGAATGAGGCATGAAAACAGCAAAAACCTTAATGCTTTAAAAAATAGAAGTCTGGTAAAGTTTCTAAAAACAACATCTTTCCTAAAATCTTCAGCAAAAGCAGTATAAGCAAAGAGGTATCCTGTACTGTACCACAGGTCTTAATCAAACAAGAACTTACACATTTGTCAAAAAAAAGTAAGGAGTCATAAACAATTATGTCCCATTTAGATTAATTAAATGAAAATAAATTTAACTAATAAATTGAATTTGCTGCTTAGACGTTTCATGGAATACATCCTTTCAGTTTTACAAATCACTGACTTAAAAAAAAAAAAACACAAAAAAGCGCAAAACTACAAAAAAACAAAACCAAACAAAAAACCTCACAAACAACAAACCAAACAAAAAAATCCCACAAAAACAAACAAACAAACACAAAAAACACCTCAAAACCTAAAACATATCTAAAACATATCAAATTTGGTCTTTAACAGAAAGTTAAGATTACACATCAAGCTTCGGACAGTGTGGTAAAACAGTAAAGGTTTCATTTTAACAGTGTATCTCTCTAACGACAATAAACTGCTTCTAGAAACACTTCTACTTCTGAAAGACATTTCATTGATTCGAAAGGGCTGCAGAACTAGAAAGGCTATAAAATATCAGTTGGTGTTACGCAGCCTTAATTTGACCACCTTATCTCTCTGTCTTCCAGCTCCCAAATATTTTACAGACTTCCACAGTTCACACATTCTCTGTTTGTATTGAATAGATCATTAATCACCCATTTGCAAAGTGAAGTTGTAGAGCATAGACTGTCAATGTTATGGTAAATATGGCACCAATACTGTAATTACTGTACAGTTACATCCATGTGATTGCACAGTCTGTGGCTTGTAGAAACAGAGTCTATGCCGTAATCTTCCAAGCAGAAACTTCACTTTGTTTCTATGTATCAAGAACTGACTAAAAAACAACAAAAAAAGAGCTAAATAGTCACTTTATCAAGAGTTTAATTTCATGTAAGAATCTAGAAGATCCTTATACTTCATGAACTACAACTGATATACATAATTACTTTTTTCTTTTAATACTTACAGTTGGTACTTTTAGAAGATTCAGACAGCATGAAGGAAAAAAGAATTTAAATGAATACCACACAATTTGCATTTTTCTAACTGCTTTTCTAACAGCAGTTACTTTCCATAAAAAATTATATATACCTATTTTTGTTTCTTTACAAAAATAATTTGAGGTCTAATTACAAATATTAAATGAAATTGTTTCCTTAGTAAATCATCTATAGAGCCAGTTCTATATTACATGATATATATCAAAATGAAAAAGCATCATTACAGACACATAAATTTTCTTGCGTCTTTCACTTGATTGATTTAATTTATTAGATGATGTATTAAGGAATAATATTCTCATTTTAAGCATATGATGATGCCTTATTTTAAGCAATATACATAAAATACCAAATATATTTTTGCACTAATGTAGTATAAAAAATAGTGACATTTTTGCCCAAGAATTTTGCAAACATTTTTCATCTAAAATACGCAAGTCTTTTACAGTGTTGAAAATATCAGCACTTCAGAACAGACTGCTTTAACATCTGCACATCACCAGGGTTTCCCCCAAGGATTTTTAAATGATGCCTGCCTGTGCTGAATAAAGTGCTAACTTGCACCTTGCATTTCAAACTGTGTCCTGAGCAGCCATCCAGTTGGTACAACACCAGCTGAATTCCCAGAGGCCACTGTTCAATCAGGCTTGACTGCAATTATCATGTCAATATTTTGTGCTCCGATATGCAGATATGCACACATGCAAACTGCATAATACCTTCTTCTCCATGGAATGTTGACTTATGTTCAACGTTCTGAGAATTTTTAATGAAACAGGATATTAAACTTTCATTAACTGTAGAAAATCACAATTACTTGACCTTAGCCAGAAAGGTTGTACTCTTATGCTCTATTATTCTGTCCACTGTATTGAGTGATAGTAACTGGGCAGTCCATTGTATTTTAAATTCAGAGTGACAAAATGGTCATGGCTTACATCTTGTTTACATCATTGTCCTCCTGTCATTGTGTTTTCTGTTAATTTGTAAAAGGATGTTTTAAGAAAGATTCTGCACAATGTTTATCATCCCTTCAAAAAGATGCAAGATACAGATTTTTATTTCAATTAACATAGGTTTCTATAGTGTTTATTCGTAAAACAAATTCACTTATCCTTTTACATAAAAAGTACTCAACATTTTCAGTAAATTTGCACATCATCAGTCAGTGAAGAATCAATGTCAACCTGTTTATGTTTCTTCCACAATTTGCTACTCACATGATGCTGCAAACCACAGGGTAAGCTCCTGAAATTACCTTTCCAAAAATTCTTTGGTTATTTTTGATCTCTTTTCAGCCATATTTTTGTCCATCTGTTCACCTTTAGACAGATGTAACTCCTCAGGAAGAACAACAACAAAACTCTCAATCACTGTTACTAACATTCAGGTTGCCACTGTTCCTTAACAGTGGCCTGAAATGATAAATCCATTATTTGCCTTTGCAAAGGTCTGCAATAAACAGCAAAGTTCAAATCTAGATGTGGAAAAACCTCTCTGTAAGGCAGGCTTGCCAAAGGTAAGTATCTGTGAGGGTATCATCTCACATACTATTCCCATGTACCTCTACCAAGTCTTGTATCATTGCCACAGTTTGATCATTAATGGATTGCTACATTAAACTGCTACATCTCCCTTTCAGAATAAAGGAAAAGAGTCAGCTAGAAGCCCTAGAGGAAAATTAGTCTGTTGACTTGTCAAGCTTTCATGTACTATAGAAGGAAGAGTCTTAAAGCAGAGCTCTGAAGTTTGCAAAAGTGTTTCTAAACCTTTCATACTCTCATCTGAACCCAACTCCATTTCAGTTTACACATGCATTTACTTAATAAGAGCTATTTTCTAGCACCTTGTTTTAAATCATAAAAAAAAAATCCTTCAGAAGGCAGCAAACTAGAAATAGCATACTCTTTACATAATACTGAGATCAATAGTATTTAAAGTAGCTGGAAAGTATACTAACATGGGTAGTAGTTTTACAATGGCTTGTTTAAAATACCTGGAGGCTTTTACATATCCCAAAGGCATTTCTCATTTGCACAGTAAAGATAATTTTTTGTTTATATCTGAATATTAAATTGGGAATATAGTTATAGTTATCCGGCAAGAACTGCAAAGACTGCTGAAAAGTGTAATATCATTGGTGTATTACTGGAATCAGCAGCATAGCCATAAAAAAGTACAAGTTAAATTTTTACAATTTTAGGGCAGGATAACTTCTATTTTGGGGCCATGAAAGCATTTGAAAATAACAGACAAATAATGGCAAGGTACTAGTAATTTCTCCCTACGCCCCCAAAATTATATCTTTTATATTTTCCTGGGTCGTTTGGAAAAAAAAACTAAGGAATTACTGCAATGCTATATTACTATAAGGAATACTATAATGCTATAAATATAAATTGCTGTAAAGTTAGTACTGCCCACTCAATTCCTCCTAACATGTATTTTCTTTTCTTCACCACACATCTGTGGTGTAAGTTCTATAGCTCTAAGTGAACATTTTGTCCTGCATCTTTTATTTTCATCTCTGCAATCTCACAAAAGAAGCCTAGCTGTCTCTTTCATCAATTAAATTATTGAAATCCACTGGACAATACTGTTTGATTCTTTTTATATATATATATATTTATATATTTATATACATATATATATGATCTAGGCAGGTACACATGCCTGTGCTTTCCTAGATTCTGTCTGCTTCCATTACTTATCTGGCTTATATGACCTCAGGCAGTTTCTAACAAAGATCTGGCAGGAAATGGAAGTTCCTCGGTTATGGAATTTTTGGTGGAAAGAGCACACTGAAAAATTAAGTTATGCAAACACTGGTGGCATCCATGTCACAAGAAGAAACAAAAAAAGGTTCAAATCCATCACATTCTGTTTGTTTCTATCTCAAAATCTCACAATAAGCCCGAGCAAGACAGAAAAAGTTCTGAACTTGAATATGACTAGGTCTCTGTTGTCCCCAGTACAGATGAGAAGGAATGAGACTTATGTGGTTTTGAAGTCTATGAGACTTAAATGGTTTTTATCAGATTTTAGTGTAAATTTCCAATTTCCACCTCATCTGATACAACTGTGTATAATATCGAAAAATGGGCTCCAAGCAGCACGCATCCTCCCAAGTGACATGCTTCAGGACTCATCTTGCTTATAACAGTTATTTGATCATCCCATCTTTTAAACTCTTTAAACCCACATATTTTTCCCAGATTAACAAAGCCAAAAAATCTATTGTCCTGCAATTTTCTGGACAGCAGCAGTGGTAGACAGCAGATTCCCTGTAAAGCTAATCAATGCACTGGAACTAAGATAAACCGATAGTAGCATTAAAAAAGCATATTATTTACTCCTATAAAGTGGGAATAAGAAAAAAACTTTTCTGAAAGGATGAGAGTGTGAAGAGGTACAGTCATGAAACTGAAACTACTGAGGAAATCATTATGGGAAGTAATAACAGGAAAAGTGAGGATAGAATATATGGGGCTGTAATTTGGTTGTGCAGAAGGTTCACAGGTAAAGCTGGGCTAGAAACTATTTCCAAAGTGGCAATTAGACCATACTCAGGCAAAAGAGATGAAGCTACATCAATTGAAGAGAAAAATACACACTACTGCTCCATCTGTCAAATCAAAGCAACCGAAAGTTCAAAGTTGTGATTAATAAAACTCTTATATACTGAATGGGTTTTATCCAAACCTATTCCAGGATTCTCAGGAGTAATGATAACACCTAAAAAGATGCTGTGGAAGCAATTTCTTCTTTCTTAATTCCATAATTCAGAGAAGCATGGAAAAGCTGTGATATACAAGTATAGCCTTGAGTTCAAAAAGGTTCTAAAACATTAGTGTAATTCTAAAAGAGTAGAGGACATAAAAACAAACTAGACCAGCACGTTAACAGAATTATGTTGGCAAGGTTTCACATACCAATCATCAGCTTCTATGCAGTGCAGAACACATACGGAAAATTTCAGCTTATTATCTTGCTTTTGTGCATGAAGGTGGTATATAAGAGTGCCACATTCATTGTATCAATAAGAATACACAAAATTACCAATTTCTGTTCTAAATGAAGCATAACATAATTTAAAGCCAGGGACAACTATGAAGCATAAAAACACTCCTAGAATGAATGAATGAAGAATAATAAACAAAGAAGACAGACTGCATCTTATATAGGCACATAATTCAAGAACTCTAAATAATTCCTTTATTGACCATTATTTAAATCCATGCTTTCTAACACCTCTATGATTCAATTCATCCTAATATCCTGATTATTTTTATATGCAACATAAATAAAGAATGTTAATAAGCCTGAACACCTGTTTCTGCCTTCTTAAGCTTCAGGTAAAAGAACTACAATTTTCCACATTGTTCAGCTATGTATAAAATGTGGTTAGGATAATAAAGTTTTTTAATGTTTTCAATATAATTGTGCTTATATACAGGTAATGTATGTTTACATATATTAAATACTGAATTTATATATTTTAAACAGTTCTCTCATTTTTTTATGTTTTATGAAGGAAGATGAATTCTACTGCCAATATCCTTATAAAAACATGACTAACTTTTATTGGGAAATAAATAATTATGATTTTGCATTTCAACGTAAATGAAGGATGCTATGTATTCGTGCATCAGTCTTCATCATATATTAAAACTATTTCCCAAATAAAACATGAAAACAATAGTAAAAATAGTATACTGTCTGAACAGCCAGGCTACTACTCTCTGCAGTTAAGTGTCCCAGTACAATGCCAGCAGTTACTTGATATCATCACTGGCAACCACATGTAAATGACCCAATAACAGCTGTCTTAAAATAAACTGCATGTCCTCACATCATCACTGTCTTCCTCTGGATATGAACCCATTAGACACTGTATTTTTGGACAAAAAATTTCATTGCTTTATGCTAGGCAGAACAGGGGACAACACTATAAAAAACAGTGACATTGAAGGGATCTCATCAATACATAGAAATATCCCAAAGGTGAGGATGGGGCCAGACTCTTTTCAGTGGTGCCTCAACATGAGGCAGAACTTCTTTGCACTGAGGGTGGCAGAGTACTGGAAGAGACTGCCCAGGGAGATTGTGGTGTCCCTCTCTGGAGCCACTCAAAACCCACCTGGACACATACCTGTATATAACCTGCTCTAGGTGACCCTGCAGAGGGGTTGCACTAGATGATCTCCCAAGGTCCCTTCTAACCCTAACAATACCATGATTCTGTAAAATGCACTCCCAGCCAAAGATGTTAATGCTATATTTTCACAAGTGAAAGAATATGTACAGATGAAGTCCAAAAAGGAAAGGTGTGAACAACAAAACATGCCTTCTAAGGTCAAAGCACTCCATACAAACCCAAAGGAGACAGGACCCTCTACGAATCTGTAACAAACTTCCCAAGTAAAATTGGCATGACTTTAAAAAGAGTTAAAATCCATTATTTTTTTCTTTTTAAAAAATTCCCTTTTTCATTTAAGAAGAGGGAACTCATGGCACCTTAAAATAATAGTTGCAATACTGACAGCCACTTCATTCACATTCTCCTTATCTTTGGCCTACAAAATATTTGAATTCATAAATATCAGCATCCCAGAACAATCAAATGAATACTGTGATAATTAGCTAACAATTATAGGAATCAGATAATAGTAAGTACCATGAAGAAATCCTCACCATTACTATCCTCAGAGGAATAAGCTGCAGAAGTAAGATCCTGCTTGTTAATGGAGATGGAAGCTCTTACAGTCAGGGAAAACTTCTTCCCCCAGTGGGTGGTTGGGCACTGGAACAGGTTCCCCAGGGAAGTGGTGACAGCACCAGCCTGAAAGTGTCCAAGAAGCATTCAGACAGGGCTCTCAGGCACATGGTGCAACACGTGGGGGTGCCCTATGCAGAGCAAGGAGCAGGACTCAATGATCCTGACCTCTTCCAGTGCAGCATATTCTAGGATCCTATGATAATTATGTCTTCTATTAACAAGTCTTAGCTTTTCACTTCCTCAAGAATTCAGATAAACATAACTTATATACAACTGTTATCCAGCAGCCTATTACACTGGAAAATTACCAGTCATTTTCCTCCTCCTGCTCTTTCAACAGGAAAACAAAATATTGCTGTACATTCGTAATTTAAAAATTGTATCGAACTGCAGCACAGCAATCTCACTGAGAACAGATTTTAAAGTCGGCTTCAACCTGCATCAAAAAAGAAGAAAACTTGCAATGTATTCTAGGCACTCTTGACAGAATGTAACAATTAAATTTTTTCAACACATTTTTAGAACTCAACATAGTTCTCAATTAGAAAGATAAAAAATATGGTATCTGAAGGAGATGTTGGTTGTTTTTTGATTTTAGTAGAATATTAAATCTTCAAACTCACCTTTCCACAACCAAACTGACAGATTGAGTAAGATCTGGTTTGGACACCTGGAGATGTTTCCAAAGAGACCACACAAATGCTTTATGAGCCTTAGAAAAAGGAAAAAAAAAGAAGAAAAAACACATTTACATGTATAATGCCTTTTACTGACAAAAATAAGTTATACTGAGCATATTCAAAACACAATTGCCAAGAAAGCCCTACTCTATTGAGAATTCCCTGCAAGTTACTCACTGCTCCATGAATGACAAAAACACAGCAAATAGTTCTCTTGAACATACAAAGTTTTAACCATACAGAATTTTGAAGTAAAACCAACATTCATAATCAACATTAAAATAGTATGCAGTGCAACATACGGCAGCAGAAGTTACACTATTCAAACAAGGCTGCCTTTTGCTATATCTATTACTGTTACTGACACAATTTCTATTACATGCTAAGCCTGCTTCAAGGAATACCTGCTTCAAGATTAAGTTCTACCACATGCAGCTTTTTGTTTCAAAATACGCAGTAAAAGAGTCTTCTAACACACACTCACCTAACCTGCCGTATACAGAAGTTTCAGAAAAAAAGCTCAGGTGAGAACAAGAAAATAGTATTCTTTACAAACAGACTTCAGAAAGTTTGTGAAAACCAGATGTCAGCTGAAATCTTTCCCACATATTTATTTTCTAGTACACATTAGTTATTATTTTTTCACTGGTGTCTTCTTATTCCAATATGATTTTATTACTGGAAGCATCAATATTTGTTACTTTACAATCTAAACCCATGTGTTAATTATACAAAAATGTTAGAGGAGAAAAATAAAATCCAGCAAAAGATGAAGACCAGTAAGAAAATATGTGTTCATAAACCAGAGTCCAGACTAGGATGAAACCGACTGACACAGTCTAACATAAAATTAGGAACAAATAAGCCAAACCCATCATATTGGCAGCTAGGCCTATTCAACAGGCAAAAATAATTAGAGTGCAGCTATGTCTACTAGAGTTTTGGAAATAGAAAATCATTTAGACTGGAAAAGACATTTATGGTCAAGGCATCCAACCAGTAACCTAACATTGCTATATGCACCAGTAATCCCTACATGCTGTATCTACACAGCTTTTAAATACCCCAGGGATGGCAATACCCCCAACACCCCCTGAGTAGCCTGTTCCAATGCCTGACAAGAAATTCTTTCTAATGTCAAATCTAAATGTTAAAAAACAAATTGGCAAAAAGACCTTATAATTCAAGACCATTATCAGCTAATGCAAAATGCTCTACATCAAAGAGACCTCATCTTTCTTAAAAGCAGAAAAATTTCAACTGTCTTTCACAGGTTGTGCACAGCTTTTAAAATTCTGTGTTTCTTGACTTTCCAAATAAAATCAAGCAGTTAACAAAAGACTTTGTGCATAAAGAAATGAGGAACAAGATATTTTTAAAACACTTGAAAAACCCACAATCTTTCTCTAACCAGATTGGGTAACTAGTGTAAGCACTCTTTTCAAAACCAAAAGTGACCCTGTTGCATTCAAACAAACAGTAACTAAAACTGGGTTATGGTGCACTACTTCCATTTTTGAAGAAAGATAGTACAAAACCTGGACTGTACACCACAAAATTAGTAACTCAAATGACTTTGCATCGGTATCCAAGTCTTTGTTCAGTACAAGTGCTAAAAATAGGTTAACTTTCAGCTCAGAATTAAGTTAAAAGATAAACACTAAGCTCTGTATTAAATGGGTTACTAAGTAAAAAGAAAAAAAGTACAACCCCTCATTTCATGCTATCACACAGTATACTGAATTTCTATGTTTCAGTGGGAAAGACTATAAAAGTATGCACTTGTTTCATGTCCTTAAAATAAAAGACACCATCTCCCTCTCTTTGTAAGAACTGCTGCAGGCTTCAAAAAAGCACTAAGATGTAAACAGAAGCTGGATTCAGAGTAATTTTAACATCTTAAAAACATCTTGTGTTTATGCTGGTAAGTCAGGGGGGAAAGCAAACAAACAAAAAACAAACCACAAATCCAGACTAAAACTCTCTAAACAATAGCAACGAAAATGTGATTTCTTTTTAATTATTTCAAAGCACATTAAATCAATAGTCCTTCCAGCCAAAATGGCACTAGTCATTTCACAGTAGTGTATCAACACAGCAAATCAGCTAGGCTGGAAACAACCTCTGAGATCATCAAGTCCAACCTATGATGAAATATCACTGTGTCAGGTAGAGCATGGCATCCAGTCTTTCTGTAAATACCTTCAGCAACTCCACCACCTCCTTGGACAGCCCATTCCAATGCACAGTCACTCATTCAGTGAAAAAATTCTTCCTAATGTCCAACCTACACCTCTCCTGGCACAGCTTAAGACTGTCCTCTTGTTCTGTCAGTGGCTGCCTGGGAGAAGAGACTGACCCTCACCTGGTTGCACCCTCCTTTCAGGCAGTCACAGAGACAGACAAGGTCACCCCGCAGACTCTTTTTCCCCAAGCTAAAATACCCCAGCTTCCTCACATGTTCCTCACAGGAATTGTGTTCTTGGCCTTTCACCAGACTCGCTGCCTTTCAGTATAAGGAAATCTTTGAATCATAATGACAGAAAACCACTGTATCTACTCCAATTTTAAAATAATTTTAGTTCAAATTGTTCAACTGATCAGAAATTACATGATAATAGTGTTTGAGCATTTTTATATATTTAATACAGAACTCACTGTGTATTTTATACTGAACTACCGTAAATCATTAAGAAATTAGTCTAAAGGCCACAAAACCATTACAGCAGAGAGAAGACACAGTAGAACAAAGGGCTAATAGTATTCTACCTGAAAACACTCAGGAATCCCGAGTCAAGCAAACAGTCAAAAGTTTCTTATGCTGATTGATGGTCTCATGAGCTATGTTTAGTTAGTTTTGTTTGCCTGTTTAATGTCTTAGAACTGCTTATAAGTATGCCTCCTTAACTTTCCCCTTTACTATCCTAAATACAAAACCACAGAAGTAGCTGTTGGGTTTTCTGCTTTTTTTTGTTATATATATATATTAGAAGAGTTGAGACCCTTGGGCTTCTCTATGACTCTAAAAAGCACTATCAAACACCATGAGACTCCCTACAACCAGGGGTGTCTGCAGATCCTACTGTGCAGATTTGTAGACATTTCAGGTCCCAGCTGGGAAACAGTTTGAGGCATCCCAAGAACACAGAATAGCATATAACCTTCAGATGAATACTTCTAAGCACAGCTTTCCTTCATTACAAAAAGAAAAACCAAAAAAATGGAAAACCACAGCAACAGGTATTGAATTGTTCCTAATGAACAAATATTACTATATATGTACAATAAGAGGGAAGTCTTCACATTCATCCCATAATTTTTGCTCAGTATACAGCATGTATTGACCCTCTGAAAACTGAATTTCTACCTAAAATTTTCAAAATCTTCTTTTGATAATATAAATATATGAGGTTTCAACAAACATTCCTAATGAGAACACAAACACTCTAAAACCATCTTTTTAAACTCTTCAGTTTAATTTAACCTGTAATTATTCCACAGTATAATTTAAGTTGTCCAAAGAGTAAAATCAGCCACAAATTTGTATTCATGTCAGTGAAATTGCCACTCTTTACATAACTAAGTTCTGTGACACTTCTGTCTGTGCTAAAAGAACAGTAGATGAAACAACATTAAAAACTCATCCTAACTGTAAAATAAAAAATCTCCTTTGCAATAAGGAATATTGAATGGGTACTAAACAAACTTCAAAGAAAAACCTACACAAAATAGGCAAAAAGGTGTCCATTAAATGGTAAACAACTAACAACTATGACTTCAAAATACAAACCAAAGCCTTCACAAATCCTATGGAAGTAAAAAGTCACTGGAATTTCCAAAACTGCAAAACAATGATATTTTGATACATGTTATTTTTTTTTTATGGTGACAAACTGATATTTAAAATTACTACTGCAAATTATGAATTTATGAATATACCCAGAACATAAAGTAATGTTGCAATTATATCAACAGATATTCTAAATTATATCATCATAAGCCTTTCACTATGTACTCAATATGTACTTTTAACTTCTCTAAATGCTCACAAAACTAACCAATGTCCTGCCCAAGTGTACTTCTGCCAAAAGAATGACGCAAATGCATCTTCAAATAATGTTACCAGCAAAGAAAAAACCCAGTCAAACAAACAGAAAACCACTACTTCATCCAGAGTGAAGAGAACTTTTTTCACAAAAAGAAAGTTTACACAGAAACATACAAAATTTTTCATTATGACAACAAAACATTACTAAGACCTTAGTCAAAGAATGTTGAGTTGCTGTATATGATTTTCTTATCTTTAAAATGCCAAACATTTTCATAGCTATTTCATTTAAATCTAAGTAATATGATTAATTAAGCATTTTGTATAATGGAAGTAGTATTAGTTAGAAATTAAGGTTTAAGAGGAAAAGAAATTTAAACAGTCTTTTTAAGCTCTTGGCAGAATTCATGGACTTGGTAAAGCTTTTCCCTGTATGGCCCTGGGAGCCAAACAATTTCTATGGAAAAAAGACTGCTTACTTACACTGTCTGAAGTTGGCACAGAAAAACACTGCAGCTGTCAAGGCCTGGGATATATCAATCTTCAGCTTACCCAAAAAATATTCAGCCTACTCAAGTGCATGTTAACAGCTCAAGAGGTCAGCAAAAGTGTACCTTGAACAGCTGAGATCTTATATAAAGGCAGAATACAGATGTAATTTGAAAGCTAGCAAAAATTACTCATTATTTACAACATATCTAATGTCAGATAAGGATGCTCACCCTGAAATCAAGGTTGCATGCAAGAACAAAAATACTCTGAAAAAAGAAAAGAGTACATTGTGTACTCTCTGAAAATTGACATCTTTCCCCTCAGCCTACAGTGAAAGCAATTGTAGTTCATACTGAAAGACAAACAGAAATGCAGACTTACCTTAGGTTTTGAAAGAGTTCTTTGCAAACTAAAGATTTTTTCTTACTGATTTTTAACAGCAGCAAACTCAGAAACACTGGCAATAGATAAGCCACTAACAAATGTTATATG